ACCCTAGACAAAAACAAATCTATCCACGGGAATCGTACATTTTTCCGGCAAGATATATAACCTATTATAGCTATCCTCGATAAAGGGACTATCTAATGCAACAAGAATTTTTCAAATCGGATTAGTACTAAAAAAAATAAACAAACACTGTCTGTTTATAATATTAGTATGGATAATCTTTAATCTATCTTAATTGAATAACTACTGTTTACTCGTAAACAAGCTTATTCAATTAAGGCGTTCCCTACCTATAATAAAATAATAACAAAGCGAAATCTGTACATAAAATATCTTTTACACACAATTAATGTTAAGTATTGTGTAGGTGAGAAATAATTCTGCCGCCATCCATTCATAGTAGGTACTACAACCGATCAGATTATGACTCAATTCATGATTTTAGACAAGTAACTGAGGAGGGCTTACTTTTGAGTAAAATTTTTGATAGTGAAAGCTGTAAATACCTATACGTATTTTTTTCATTTTTGTTAACGGCACGTTGCAGTACATTTTGAGCATATTACGACACAATTTTTGCAAATCTCATATATCAAAGTAGCAGAGCTAACTGGACTTGAAAACAATTATAAATAAAAAAATTAAAAAACCACCTACGCAAATTAATTTTTATTTAACGATTACACTGGCACGCGTGAAGCACTTAATTGAGTAATCATACGCCAAGATGCCTTACATCATTTTGGAAAAGAGCTGATACTCTTACACTGCTGGACCGATATTAACCAAACATAGCTAAAAACCACCGCAAGGAAACTGGCTTTCAAATGAAAAAACTGCATCGAAATCGGTCCATCCGTTTGAGAGCTACGATGCCACAGACAGACATCAACGTCAAACTTATAACACCCCTCTTTTTGCGTCAGGGGTTAAAAAGGACCTCGAAAAAAAATAGTTTTTTACATAAATATTTAATTGTTTTTTGAATGCAGCACGTGATAGTACATATCGGATACATTTCATTTTCTCATCAAAATTTCTAAAATGGGGTTAACATGATGGACATCCCACGCGACTGATTCGGTGGAAAAAAAATATTTCAAAACAAATTGGCGCCTAAGATCCTCCATTTGGATTTTTAATGATATTTATATACCGTATGGCACTCGCGTTATCAAGATGAATATAACGACGCGACGTACGAATCATCAAAATCGGTTAAGCAGTTTATTAATTACGAGAGAACAGTCGAACATACATACATATATACATACATACCGGTCAAATACATAACCCTCCTTTGGGCTACGCCGCAGTCACTAGGCCTACAGAAGTCTGCGATAGCATGTGTTTGTTGTCTTTTATCTGTCTATAACATACCTAGGAAAGAAATAGTTTTACTCCTTAAACATAGTAGGTACCGTCTTTTTTTAAACTAGGTACTCCAAAATATAGGATGTACCTACTCAATTCGATTCGACAGCGTGATACATCGGTCAGGACAAGCAATTTTATACCATGTACAATAAGCGGGGTGGAGATAACATACTGAAAGTAGTCTATGTTCGTTCTTAAATCTGATAAGCGGCTTAAGCAAGTAAGAAAATGTTCTATATCTATACATATAATAAAATTGTAACTAAGCCGAATCTGTACTTTAAATATTTTTTGGAAAATCTTATTGAAATAAACATTATTATCGATACAGAGGCCGAATCTATAGTTTTTAGAATTTTTGTCTGTCTGTTTGTCTGTTACCGCATCACAGAAAAATCACTGAAGGAATTTTGATGAAATTTGGTATGGTGATAGCTGGTTATCCGGGTCAACATATAGGATACGTTTTACCGCGGGAAAATATCTAATTTCTGAGAAAAAAATACAAAAACTGCAATGTAAGAGTATACTAATACGTAAAACCTAAGAATGTGGTTTTTGGTCATCTGAACGTGAGCTGAGCCGCGGGCAATGCTAGTCTATACATATAATAAAACTGTAGAGGTCGAATGTCTGTACATTGAAAAAAAATGCTAAAAACCGAGTCAGGGGGATGTAAGAAGAGAAATATAACAAATACAGATGTTTATCAAATTTTTTTTCTCTGTCTGTTTGTCTGTTTATCTGTTTGTGCGAGCTAATCTCAACTGATGGACCGATTTAAATAAAATTACATGCATTTTGGTAACCATCCAAAATTTCTTTTTAATCCTTATATCCCCGGTCAACATTTTAGATACTCTTCATCCCGGCAAAATTAAAGAGTTCCCGTAGGATAGTTAAAAAACTATGGTAACACTTATACAGCTTAGTACACAAAAACTACCAATTGGATTTTAATGAAACTTTACATAATATAGTTAGTTCATAGGTACATCAAAATAACAAATAGGCTACTTTTCATCCGGGAAAAATGTACGGTTCCCGTGGGATAGATTTGTTTTTGTCTAGAGGCGAGACCGAGCGAAGCAAGGGTGAGCCGCTAATAATATTATACTGTCACTAAGAAAAAACCTAATAATATAAGTCATTTATTTTTATATTGAAGTATTTCGCTATTTCAAATATTTCACACTTAGTAATATTTTACAATATATTATTATTTTTATCGACCAGGGACACATTTGGTTACCCTTTAAGGGGTTTATAACATGGTTTATTGTAAAATATTTAACAAAAACGCTTTCAATAAGGTTACCCAGTCAACAGGCTTAAGGCGATTACTGTCCCCAATGGCGTTGAGTGTTTGGGCGGGTCTTAGTGCACTGCACCCGCGCACCCCGCACGAAAGCATCAAACAATCCACGCACTATTATACCAGAACACGATCAAAGAATGCGCCACATAGGCGCGCGGCATAGTTTACTGCCTACGAGCGATACAATCCGAAAAGAGTCAAAGAGATGCAATGCTAGAATTATCGTAGGTACTATATATTATAATTAATTATAAGCCTATTAAGTAATCGTCTAAAATACGTGAATGATTGTAAGTTTGTTTGTTAATCACGCGTAAAATAAACGGCTAAACCGATTTTCATGAAATATGGTAACTATAATCTATACATATAATAAAATTGTAACTAAGCCGAATCTGTACATTAAACATTTTTTGGAAAATCTTATTGAAATAAACATTATTATCGATACAGGGGCCGAATCTATAGTTTTTAGAATGTTTGTCTGTCTGTCTGTTACCGCATCACGGAAAAACCACCGGAGGGATTTTGATAAAATTTGGTATGATGATAGCTGGTTATCCGGGTCAACATATAGGATACCTTTACCGCGGGAAAATATCTCCTTTCTGAGAAAAAATACTGGTGGTTGATCTGAACATTTCTAAAATGTTAATTTATAAAAATACCAATAACCACATCCATATAGAACTTAATTTTTATTACATTAAACTAGTTAAAATATTCTACAGCGACAAGCGCGTGCATATATATCTGTCTGCGAGCGATTATTCTTTGCACGCACACAAATAAAAATACTCGTCAATACATGCATAAATACAACGTAAAATAAGTAGTCGATTGCTTGAGAAAAAAGTGACACAGCCTTCCCGTCTGAGCGCCAGCGCGCGACTGCCGCCCGCGCCCGCGCACAGCACCTCTATAGCTTCGAGGTTCGTAATTAGTATTTTCGATTTTAATATAGGAAAATAGTAATTGATTAACAAAAGTATTGGCGGGTATAAAGTAAAACAGATCTTTTATTTTTAGTCTTTAAATGTTGCAAAAATTCTTAGCCGTTTAGCAATAGGCAAGGCAAATCAAAAAAAAACATTTCTTTGAAATAAAAAGTAATAGATATTTTGGTACCACGAAAAAAATAATTAGGGAAAATATTGTTTAAGAGTTGATGATTCACATATATTTTTTTCAAGCTTTTCGGTCAACCCATAAACAAGTACGCTTTAGAAAGTACCTCTTTGATGGTACTAATTGCCTTAAGAGGTTTGAACTAATTGTGCACAAACTTTAGCACTAAAATATCTCCTAGGTACATTAAATGCTAGGTAGGCTTAACTTCCATTCATGTCATTTTAATATAATCGAAAATTACATAAATAATAATGTCTGTTGTATATAACTAATTAACTGTTTAAGCAACATTATCTTCTAATACTTTAAATAATATTAAACTAAATTAAATTCATATAAGTAGACATCAGAACTTCTGCCAGAGCTAGGAATTTGAAAATTTGTTGGACAAACTTTAGTCTAAAAGTTTTTTAAGCAAATATTGTTGTTGAATTAGAGCTTCTGATTTAAATTTATAAACAGCCAATTTCTCTTCGAGGAACCAGTGGTTCACCAAATTCTAATAGAATTGTTCTAATTTAATCTTTTGTCAGGCTGAAACTAAGTGACTTCTCACTTCTTTCTTCAAAAAATATGTAGAGAAATAAAATTGTGCGCAGTGTTCCATTTAAAATTTACATCGTAATTTCTAATAAATAGTAAAATATTGTTAAAAAAAATCATCATTGAAACTACTCATTGTTTGTTATAAAAAGACCATAAATTATACTATTACATCTCTAATATAGTTTCTGGAATTATACAGTAATGGCTATTAACTTAAAATTAATACCAAGTTTTAAATCATCTTAAAAGTATTTATAGAAAATTTTATAGGATAGCCCAGCCCATAGATTAAAAAAAATGCATTTAATTTGGCTCACCACAGGCAGAGATATCGATAAATATGAACATATAAAAAATGTGCACAAAAATTGAGAACTCCCTTCTTTTTCTAAATCAGTTAAAAAATCATTTGAATTCTATCAATTTTTATGCCTTATTAGCAATCAGTTGTATATATACATCTTTAAATTGATACATGAAATTATATGCTAAATATTTTTAATGACTACATTACTTATTGCACAAATCCTTTTGTTTATAAACTGAAAAAATTAATTGATTTAAAAAAAAAATCACTAGTAATCTTTTCTTGCAAGGAAAAGGATACTAAATCTTGCTATGCTTTTAGTAATAGGTGCAAGCTGTTTTAATTTAAAGTTATTGAATTTCAGTCTTCAATGATAGAGAATAAGTTTGAATTTACATGTCCTTCTGACTCTGACTTCAGTATTTCATTTCGAACTTTAATCTCTTTAGTGGGCCTTACATTTTCATCTTTAGATAATTTTCTTTTTAAACTTAATGTTTTTTTGGGGCAAACATCATTTTGATCACTGTTGGAGACTTTTCTCTTTTTTATTTTTGTAACTACACAGTCAAAGTCAGATGAATCATCATCATAATCGGTATATACTGGAACAGAACGGCCACTCCTTGTTGATCTTTGTGGTTGTAATCTTGTAGACTCTATGATTTGTATTGGTGGAGGCCATGCTGCCATATTAACTGACTGTCTGGCTTGTCGATAATTATTTATTGACATTAGTTTTATGTATACTGCTAAAGTTCTAGCTTTTTCAGCTGGCTCTAAAGTTTGTGGAATAAGACTCCAAGGCATACGTCTATCTCTAACATTTAAATATCTTCTCTTCATTGTTACTTTAGATGATGAGGTTTCCACATCTTCCTCTACCTATTACAAAAATAAAATACAACTAATAAAATGTGGTATACATGTTTTTTTTTTTTTGGATTTTTTTACAAAATATTTAAGATATACCCTGAATGAATGAATGAATACCTTTTTTTGTAATTGTTCCTCTTGAATATTTGATACTTTGGAATTTTTTAAGGCTTTAAGTATATCAATCATCTCATCTTTACTCAAATTATCCTCTTCTAAACCATATTCTAAAATTAAACAAAATATTTTTTGAAATTTTCTGTCAAAGACATTATTGTTTACCTGCAAGTTATAGACGAACACAAACCAGTTAATTGACTTTTTAGGCTTTTTAAATCGCGATCACAACTATCGTCAGATGAAAGTATTGATTCCATAATTACGAAAGTATTGGAGCGACGTTTTCTAGAATGATTTTATTTAAACATTTTATAGATAAAGAGAAAAATTTAAATTAAAAAAATTATTGCTGTGTGCTTTAAAATAAATTGGTAGCAATTTCTCTATTTCTATTCATTACTGTTTGTCAATGCCGTGTATCTGAGTGATAACAATAAACAATAGCCTGTCAAAATATAGGTAGTTGTCAAGCAGCCAAGATTCACTTTTTTAAAAAAGCAGACGCTACTTCTTATTGTGCAAAGCTTTTTTTATAAACACTGTAGTACATTCAACGATTACAACGATACATTTAATGTAAGGTTGTTTGAACTTTGAACACTATTTCGAAAAATGTTTTTACTTTTATCTGGGAGCACGGCGTTGCCCTCGCCAAGTCGAGCAAAAAGGGCACGGCAGTAGGTATCATCCTTTTCTGGAAGCGATTCAGAGCATTTTCTACAAATTGCATAATTAACTTTGTAATCCTATACAAAAAAAAATGCGATAAATGCGATTACAAAGTTACTTTTGCAGAGCATACCTATAATTTTTCGTCACTTAAACTACCCTAATGATAGGTAGGTAAATAGTGGATATATATTATATAGTACAGTAAGTATTAGCGACGACTAAAATGTAATTATAAATATTGTAAATAGTTTTAAGAAACAAAATATTTCAAAATCTATACTAATGTTATAAATGTGAAAGTTTGGGAGTATGGATATTTGTTACTCTTTCACGCCAGAACGGCTGAACGAATCTGGATGAAATTTGGCACAGAGATAGATTATAGTCTGGAATAAGCCCAGTGGTAACGCGCTCGCTTTGGATACCGAGTGAAGCGAGTTCAAATCCCGGGTCTTGCACCTCTGATATTTTCATGTGCGAATCACTTCCAATGATTACCACTTGTCTTAACGGTGAAGGAAAACATCGTGAGGAAACCTGCATGTCTGAGAAAACATAGCAAGTTTTCAAAAGACATGTGAAGTCCGCCAACCCGCACTTGGCCAGCGTGGTGGACTATGGCCTGATTCACCTCGTACTGAAGGGAGGCCCGTGCTCAGCAGTGGGGCGTTAAAAATGGCTGAATACAAATAAGCCATTCGGCTGAGATGGACGCACAAGGAATAAAATGCGACTCAAATCGACTCGCTTCGATTCGATGCGTTTCGAGTGTAGGCAACGCCAGGCTTTCGATTACTCATATATTTTTTATCTTTGAGATAATAATCTTATATATATATGAAAAAAAGATAAGCACTGGCACCTCTTAGACTATGTGATAGTACGCAAGAGAGACCTCAGTGAAGTACTTATCACTCGAGTAATGAGGGGTGCTCAGGGCTGGACCGATCATCGGCTAGTCCGATCAAAACTACGGTTCCACTTAAAAGCACCACGTCGAGCATCTCACAAGATCCCGGCAAAAATACACTGTGAAAAGCTTCTTCGCGACTCACATTTAAGTCAAGAGCTAGATGATGCATTCTGCACCAGTATGCCAGAGACAAAAGAGGGTATGTCTATTGATGAGGAGTGGCGTTTATACGCTGAGAACCTTCACGCCTGTGCCTCACGAGTTATTGGGAAACCAGAAAAGAAAAATCAAGATTGGTTTGATGATTCCGAAGTGGAAATCAAGAAGCTCGTTGAGGACCACAGACGTACCCTTCTTTCGTCAGACGTCTCTGAGCGGAGAACTGCTAATCATAGCCTAAAAGTAAAAGTGCGTGCTCTCATAGATAAATGGTGGGTAGACAAAGCCAATGAAATCCAGCGTTATGCTGATACCAATCAGACTGGTAGATTTTTTGAGAGTCTCAAAGCTATTTTCGGCCCAAGATCTAAGAAAGTAGCTCCAATTTTCAACAAGGACAAGACTCAACGTCTTACTGAACAGAAAGATGTTCTTGCCCGATGGGCAGAACATTTTTAATGACGTTCTTAACCCTAGTGCACAGACAGCTGACTTGTTGTTTATAGATTCCCTCGAAAGTTTACCGGTACTTGAAGACTTGGCAGAACCACCATCCTTTGATGACTTTATGAAGGCACTGGATAGGCTGAGAAATCACAAGGCACCTGGGGTAGATGGTTTACCGTCTGAATTATACAAATACAGCGGCCCTCACGTCAAAAACAGGTTATTCCAACTTATCCTGAAAATATGGGAGAGTGAAGTAGTTCCGCAGGATTGGAGAAATGCCTCCATTTGTAAATTGTACAAAGGCAACGGCGACATCGCTGATTGCAGCTCGTACAGAGGTATCTCTCTTCTCTCAGTAGCTGGGAAAATCTTATCCCATATTATAAACACCCGTCTATCCCAACACGCAGAAACCATACTTTCCGAGACCCAGTGTGGTTTCCGGCCAGGGCGAGGTACGGTAGATGCTATCTTTGTCGTAAGGCAAATCCAAGAAAAGAGCCTGGAACAATACCGTCCTCTTTATATGTGCTTTGTAGATCTGGAGAAAGCCTTTGACAGAGTCCCGCGTGAAGCCCTGTGGATAATGCTAAAGAAAATTGGCTGTCCTGGAAAGTTGTTAAACTTGATACGTCAGTTTCATGACAATATGACGGTTAAAGTTCGACATGAAAATTAATTTTCAGACCAAATACCAATAACCAGTGGCGTGAAACAGGGCTGTGTCTTGGCTCCCACTCTGTTTTCTCTATACTTTGCCTTTGTTATGCGGGATGTGGTCAGAACTTGCAATAGTCAAATTGAAATTAGCTCCAGAACAGACAAGAGCATATTCGATCTATCCCGTTTCAGAGCTAAGAGACAAGTTTCCAAGCTCTCTGTTCTAGACGTTTTATATGCCGACGATGTTTGCCTTATGGCCGACTCAATAGAGTCTCTTCAAGCCTATGTGGACTCCTTACACACGTCGTGCCGCAGGTTTGGTTTGGTTATAAGCACCAGCAAAACTCAGGTTTTAAAGCAACCTGCTCGTGGCTGTCTTGCTGACCAATCCGCTATCAACTTGGATGGCTCTGCATTGGAGGAAGTCCCATACTTCAAATACTTAGGCAGCAGACTAAAGCACGACAACACACTAGAATCAGAAATACCAGCCCGAATAGCAGGTACTGCAGCGGCCTTTGGCAAACTTAGGTCCCGTGTCTGGAATTCACACGACCTCAAATTGCAAACTAAAATATTAGTGTACAAAGCGATTGTCCTGCCTACATTATTGTACGCTTCAGAGACTTGGTGCTGCTATAAATCAGATATCAAGAAGTTAGACACATTTCACCTCAAATGTCTAAGATCCATATTGCGCATTAAGTGGCAGGACCGAATTTCAAACACCGAGGTTTTACGTCGTACAGGTATGTCTGGAATTGAAGCTCTCGTAATGAAAAGTCAACTGAGATGGAGCGGTCTCGTCCTACGCATGCCCGATAGCAGACTACCGAAGGCAGTCTTCTATTCTGAGCTTTCAAACGGAAAACGAAAACAAGGCGGGCAATACCTTCGCTATAAAGACGTGCTCAAACGCAATCTTGTGGCTTGTTATATACCAACTAAGAGTTGGGAGAGTCTGGCACGTCAAAGACCGGAATGGCGTCGAACCATTCACAAAAATGTCGACCGTTTTGAATCTGCGCGTCTAGAAGACCTTGATGCGAAACGCCAAGTACGGAAGACTAGGCCAAAACCCTCCCACTCTTACACATACGATTCAGATGGCCAACTATACTGTGCATCTTGCAACCGAGTCTTCAAAACTAAATTCGGTTTCGCTAGCCATATTAGAGCCCACCAGCGTAATTTATAGGAGTCGCCGTCACCGGATACGGTGTGGACGACATGATGATGATGATGATTTATGAAGGGATACTTTATCATCCCTAACCTCTGAAACCATTTTAATACTGGTAACACCGACCAAAACTTCTGTCAGTTTCCAACTAACGTCAATGTCAGTGTAATTTTGAAAATCATTTGCCGGTTACTTTATGAAGACCAGAGTAAATAAATATTTTTTTATTTGTAAGCAAATTACTGAGAAGGTAAGTATTACTTTCAAGTTGTTATTATTTTATTGCGTTGTATATATTATATCCCGAGTATTACAAATGAAAATTAATTTGAACTCAAGTAAGTTTTTCGTCCAGAGATGTTTATTAATGCAAGATGGTGTTGGGGCAGATTTAAACAAAATTGCTGGGGCACTTTTGAATAAAATCAAAAGTGCCCCTATGGGTACCTAACCAACTAAATATCATGAGAATTCTAAATTTTATTTTATTATGTTATTAATGCATTTATTTATGTCATCATGGTAAGAAATTACAAAAAGACATAAGAAAATTCTGTGAATGAAGACGATGCCGAAAGAGCTGTATTGTGTGTTGTCAACAATGGCATGAAGCTGAGAACTGCTGCTGCTGCTATATATAACATAAAACCAACTACTTTATACTACAGAGTTAATTTTTTTTAAAGATAACATTACTCCAAAAAGTAAAATATATAGTAGCAAACACACAGTTTGTCAAGTTTTTACAAATGATGAGGAATATATGCTCGAAAAGTATTTCTTAAGAATGTCCAAAATGAACTACGGCCTGACCTGCCCGTTAGGAAGAGAATTGGCATACTAATATGCTTAGAATTGTCTTAGAAAAGTTCCCTGAGAAGTGGATAAGCAATAAGATGGCGGGTATTGAATGGATGAAAGGATTTATGAAGAGACATCCAATTTTATCATTACGAAAACCCGAAAATACAAGCCTTTCTAGATCTACAAGTTTTAACAGACATAACGTTATGTTTTATAATAACTATGGAAAGGTATTACAACGAGGAAATTTTACTCCTCGCATTTATAACTTGGACGTATATGTACGTTCCTAAGACTCTTATGTTATATTTTTAAAATAGGATTCATAAAGGTACCTTTATGTGATGGTTTTGCGATATTCATATTGATAACTTGTAAGTTAGTTGAATCTAGTTCAAGACTGCCCCAGACTGTTTAGAGTTTTATACAATTTATTTTAGTAATAACTAGTGTAGTGTTAAAATGGCTATGTTCAATCTATACTTATTATAAAAATAAGTCCCCCGGTCGCGTCTTTCTGTCCTCCTGTCTGTCCTCCTGTCTGTCCTCCTGTCTGTCTGTACGCGATAAACTCGAAAACTACTGAACGGATTTTTATACGGTTTTCAACAATAGAAAGAGTAATTCTTGAGGAAGGTTTAGGTATATAATTTATTATGCTTTTATGTAAATTAGCTGAAATACGGCGACAAATGTTGAAGAGGTCGCAAAAAATCTCGCCAAATGGGAACTTTCCACGCGAACGCCGCGTAAACTAGCAAAGATACAGTTAAGTAATGTACTAGAGAATTCAAAATCTATAAAAATGCTACAAAAAAGTCCGCGATAGCATATCTCTATCTCTTACGGTTGACTTACAATAACCACTTTTATGTTAACATTTTTAATTAAAAACATTACGTTATTTTCAAAGTTATTTTCTTTAGTTCGGTATTAATCCTTATCCAAATGAATATTTTAGTTAGCTTAGTCATTTAATGCAGATTAAAATTGCTCTTTACACTAAATCAATCAGATGAATAGTTTTTGAGATATCGTTGTTAGAAGTAATTAGTAGCGAAACATTTTTAATGCTTGGCGAGCATTGAGATGCCTACGGCGAGTCCATCCCCTCTGCCCCGCATCGCTCGACCGCCTGCTCAAGCTATATAAACCGGGCGATGTAGCGCGCGATCCTAGGATACTTTTTACCGCGGGAAAATATCTTATTTCTGAGGAAAAATACAAAAACTGCAATGTAAGAGTATACTAATATGTAACGCCTAAGAATTTAGTTTTTAGTCATCTGAACGCGGGCGGAGCCGCGGGCAATGCTAGTGATAATATAAGATGCAAATAACTTAAATGTAGTGTTGATTATACTCTAAGATACGTGGTTTTCACATGCCAAAAATATATTTGCCAACTGAGCAAGTGTAATTTTGTTTTATACATTTTTAATTAATTCTCAATTTTAAGAAAAAAATAAAAACCGGTCAAGTGCGAGTTGGACTGGCGCATGAAGGGTTCCGTACCATTACCTATAAAAACCGCAAAAAATCACGTTTGTTGTATCACGTTTGTTTATTTTATTGTTTTTTTATTCGTTGTTATAACGGAAACAGAAATACATCAACTGTGAAAATTTCAGCTGTCTAACTATGACGGTACATGAGATACAGCCTGGTGACAAACGGACAGACAGACGGACGGACAGCTGAGTCTTAGTAAGAGGTCCCGTCTTACCCTTTGTGTACGGAACCCTAATAAACTACTCTAAAATACTCTGTTGTGAACGCAGAACGCGAACCATACTCGAAACGCGCGGTTTCTCGATAACCAATCACAGCGCGAGGACATTGGCCCCCCATCAGCTGTTGGCATACCTCGATAAGCTTTTCTCTAATCTTTCTCGCACCTATGGCTACGTGACTTGACTCGCCAATTGACGAAATTATATTTTTTCACAATTTCAACTTGCCAAAAGGACCTTCCCAAAATTCGTCGCCATTTCTCAGAATATATGTAGAAATAAAAGACATACTTAGATGCTATAATTTATTTTAAAAATCATCATCGTCGTCAAAATAACATATTAAAATATTAACTAATAATTGTGCAGGAGGTATTATAAAACCTTGGTGTCGTGCCCAACCAAGAAACCATATTATGCTCATTGTGTGGGCACAGTAACCCACTGTTCTTTTTCTCACAACACGGTTGCATTAATATCGCATTATTGAATTTCTCCCACTTAGTTGTCAACTAAAATATAAACAAAATATATTTTATAGCTTACTTATATGTCTTGATTTTATTCTTCCTCTTAATAATCAAGTAGTTTCAGATATAGACAGCTCCTGTAATAGCCCCCTGTTCCCCTCCCAGTGTACTTCTATAACATAAGAGCCATTTGCCCTTACATACTCCCCATAATATGATCGGGCTGTTTAATTTTATAAGTACCCAACGATACCAGAATTAAATCACCTTATGATATCTCAGGAAAATCTTTTGTATTATTTGTACTGACATCTATTGGTCGCAATTGCGCCCTACGCCGATTTATTACTTATTACGTATGCAATCAATAATAATCGGTATACGTGCAGAAGTACAAGAAAATCGATAGAGATTAGGATTCCGATATAACGCATTTACTTGCGTACAAATACGAATAGCAAATTACAATATTATGTCATACGGTTTTCGTATTTAGATATTTAATATCTAAGGAGGTTTTTATTTAGCGTTAAAAATAAATCATATTTTGGGTTTTCGTTTTATTTTTACGTTGTAGGTACTAAAAATATAATTCAGCTTAAATTCTACAAAAATGTACGCAAACCGTACAGCATCAATTCTCAAATATTTTTAATAGAACAGTTCTTTAAAATCATTAGTTTTAAGATATAATATTTGTTTATAGGAGCATTAAGCAATGTCGAAAAATACATTTTTCCTTAACTTGGCCGTTGCAAACAAAATTAAGATGTTAATAGAATAATATAAAAAATAGGATTTTTTTATGTATATATTTGGATATATATTTGGTTCCTAGTTATCAGGACTCGAAAATTGGTTTTTCCTTCATTATTCATCTATGACTGTTTTATTGTGTAGTTACTAGTTCTTTAATCTGTGTTATTGTGTATCTGTGGTCTGTGCACCGATTGGCACCGATTCTTGCTTGTGTCTTTATTTTTTGTGTGTACTTTTTGTAATTTATTTTTGTTTTATTATTAAGTTTGTTGTTCTGTATTTATCGTGTGTGTGATGAAATATTAAAATATACAGTACCATAAAATGCTTAATATCAGATATCACGCCAATTTGAAAATGCATGCATGTAATTGATTCAAATTTTTGAGTGCTGCAGTCAAAATGGAAGAAGAATTGAGGTGTTTTGTATGTAAAGAATTTTATAGGGAACCAGTACTGCTTCCTTGCGGTCATGCGTTATGTCGCGTGTGTGCTACAGGCTTACAGACTCACGTACACGAGGGTGATAATAATTCGACTGTAACAACCGACTACCAGGAGGCGGATAAAGCATCTGTATCGAGTGAAACGGATAGTGGTGTAGTTTGTGGATCAAGGCCAAATAGCTACGCAGGCACTCCTGCTGTTCCGGCATACGTGTCCGCAGCGTTTAGTTTAACATGTCCGTTGTGCAACAAACAAGTATTTTTAGATGACAATGGAGCCGAAGGCCTTCCACCTTTTCGCGTAATGCGAACGATTGTGGAACGATTTGGTGGAATAAGTGTAGCCCCTCCTGCTGAAGAAGCATGTCAAATGTGTGAAGGTGAGAGGCGTGCAGCTGTGGTACGATGTGAACAATGTTCAGTGCGGTACTGTGCGAGCTGTAGAGATGCATGGCATCCAATAAGAGGGCCTTTGGCACAACATGAGCTTAGAGCATTAGGAACTACTTGTACAGATCATGGATCAGTACCTGTCCTTTATTGCAATACTTGCCTTCTTCCTATTTGTCAACGATGTCTTGTAGAGAGACATTCTGCACATGAAACTCAACACTTATCTAGTGCAGCTAGACTTCATAAGGTATGTAAAACATTTATGTATATTAATAATTTTGCTGCTCTGAAGTAAAGTGATTATATTATGTACTAAATTAGATTGTTGTCAAAATGTACGATCATTTTGTTTACAATAGGTACTGTTGTGAAATTAAACACAATAAAGCCTTAATTGTGGTGGAAATATGTATTGTACATAAAAAAGGATGTTTACTATTAGTTAAAGGTATGTTGATCTTTTGTAATCACATAGTTAGGTAAAGAAATGTATGGAAATGTATTAGACATGTTGTAACTTTAACTCTCAATAACTTTTTACTCTAACGTTTCCTAATAATATTTTTAATATATTTTTAACTCTTTGTCACCTCCCCTATCCAAAAATACCACCCACTCCGCCAGTTGGTAACGAAATGTATGGAAATGTTGTAACTTTAAGTCTCAATAACTTTTTACTCCTACGTTTCCTCAAAATATTTTTTATATATTTGGGCTCCCTGTCACCTACCCTATCCAAAAATACCACCCACTCCGCCAGGGCCCCCGTCCCATATACTAAACTTGTGCCTTACAAAATTACTATTACTTAAACAAATTAAGTGCCTATATTGCATAACAATTATGATGAACAATTTCAGCTACATTGGCCAATTCCATTGAGACTGGCAAACTGTGCCATAAATATAATAGTGCATACTTATGTACACACAGACACCAGTGTGCAATCTATTCCTTTCATTATCAAATCCCTATGAGACAATAATTTAATACAACTGGTGCGAGATCAGGCACTGGACCAACTGGTTTACTGTTGCTCTCCAAAGCATGGAGGTGAAACATTGCCAATTTCCCAACACTAGACTGTTACTGAGTATATTTTAATAGAAAAATTCAGTAATAAAACTTGACATGACCCAAGACTCAAACTGTCTGACTCTACCACCCAATCTGCAAGCAAGGCAACTTGTAGTAACTGTAACTTGCTTAATAGATGTTTAACTAATTTCAGAGAAGCACAGATATAAAAATGAATCGCTGAATGTGTTGGTAAGCGCAAATCTCGAGAGCAACTGAACCGATTTCGCTAATTCTTTTTTTAGAATATTCCTTGAAGTACGAGGATGGTTCTTACGGAGAGAAAAATTTAAAAAATTGCCTAAAAAAGTCTAAAAACAACACTTTTTTATACTCCCATACAAAAGATTCGTAATAATACTTAAAAGTCAATTTGAACTTTAATACCATAACATAAAGTTTAAGTGTTAGTGGAGAGGTTCCGGGAAGGCAAAACATTGATGGCAATTGAGTGACGTTAGAATCGTATCAATATTAATGTCAATATTTGTCAATATTATTAACAAAAAAAAATATATGGCTAATGCTGGCTAATAACTATTTATATCTATTTAAAACGTACCTCGCGACGAACCCGAGCGAAGCGAGGGTGAGCCGCTAGTATATATATATATATATAATATATACATATATATACACATTGTATATACTTTATATAATTCATAATTAAAAAAATCGACGCCTCCTACGCATAAAGTCGGAACTCATTTTTTGAGTAAAATGATATTTTTGTCCCATTGTAACCATGTTATACCATATTAAATATGAGTGAATTCAGAAAATTAATATCTTCTATAAATAATGAATTTTCAAATGGATAATAGTCTTAACATTTGAACGCTCCCTCGCATACAGTCGCGCCGCTAGTTTCGACGATGTGCACCGGTTTATTGGGCCGCGCACATGCCAATGAGAGCACAGTAACGACGTCGTACGACACAATCGCTGTCACAATTTTGAATGTTAAAAATAATATTGAACATACGTTTTATGTGGTGTTGTTGTTGTTTTTTTTATAATTAAAACTAATACTTCAGAAATGAGTAACGTACGTTCGTCAAAGATTTTAAAATTAGTGTTAAATAAGTTAAACCCAAACAGCGAAGTTATAACGGCCGGTGAACATCTTAGAAAAGGTAAGTTTTATTGCATTTTCGTATATTATTATGAAATGTACTTCTTTACTATGCCGTATTATCGTAGGAAAAAATAATATTAATATGTGATAGCGTTCAATTGTCAACAATAAATAAAATTACGGTTCCGGCGCATAACGTCGGTATATCTATGTTACGACTGTATGCGCCGTTAACAATCACTGGCAGTGGTCAGTTAAGACTTTATACTACGCAATAATTCTACTCTAGGAGTCATAACTTATTATTACGACCATATGCGTGGTTGCAATTTGAAGTTAAATGAACGTATAAAGACGTTACATAGACATAAGACTTTATGCTTTGTTGCTAAATAAAGTTACATTTTTTTGATTATTAAATATAGCTATAAATATCATTAAAATTGTGTTTTTGGCTTTTATCTGCCTCGCTGGCTCTTCGTGAGGCAGCTGAGAGGCGTAAAAAATTGTGCCCGGTTAAAGGCAAGGTTGGTGAAATGTGTATGTATGTATTTATACAGGCTTGTCTAACCCTTACAGGAATAAAAGGCGTACAGTTATATTATTATGTAAGTTATATTTGATTTTAAGCTATGTGTATTTTGTACCAAGTCTTTTATTAATATGGTTTTGTTTTCAGAATCATCGGTGCCTATTAAGGCTGAACAACAGTGGGATTTGTTGTGAACAGTGGGAGTTCTATACCAAGTATTCACAAGGCAACATTTATCAATTTAAATAGTATCAGTTCAACAGCAATTTTACTCACGACTTCTTCTTTTACGTCAAATGAAAACCATGCTAGATGTATGGATTTAGGATCATGTGCTGAAGAAATTACACAGGAATCACTAAGCTTTACCTGGACAGCGATCTTACATTTACAAAAATGTTTTCTTTGTACAATAAGTGGTGTGCTACTGAAAATAATAAATATAGCTAAAAAAGCAAAGACAGTTAGACAGTACCGTAATATCATAAATCAAAATTTGAATATTTCATTTCATAAACCGAAAAAGGACATATGTAACGAATGTCTTATATATAATACAAAAAAAAATGTATATAATCACTATAGAAGAAAAGCAAAAACAAGAAAATGATATGAGAAACAAGACTATAGCTAGAGAAATTAAGGCAAGAGATAAAAAATAAACTTTAGAAAGTAAAAGAAAAATAATTACTGCGTGTTTCGATTTCCAACAGATTTTAAACTGCCCTCATGATAATGTAGGCCAATTAATTATAAAAGAATATTGTCAATTTATAACTTTATCGTGTTTGATCTTAGTAGTCAAGAATAAATAAACAAAATAAATATGTTAAGACATTAACACGCAGCACCATCCAGTTACATGGTAAGCTACGAGGCTTGAGTTATGGATACAAGATAGTTGATACACTATACATATATAACTTTAAATACATACTATTATAAATATAAACACCCATGACTGGAGTATAAACATTCATAAATTAGAAGAAGCTTACTTGTTACATGTGGCCCGAAAATAATGGCAAGCACGGGTCATGCGAAAATTGAGACCACAGCAAATGATGGTGTTAAAGAATTCAAGTTTTGATCCGATAATTGTACCGGTCAAAATCAAAATCAAATAATTGTATTTGCATTTTATAGCTATGCAGGTAAGAAGTATGGTATAAGCTTAATTCGTAGGTTTTTAGAGCGTGACGTCGTTCATGCTTTAATAAAAAGAAATCCTAAAAATAAGGTTATATATACCCCTGTAAATGGTTTGCCTTCGATGGTCAAAAGTCAATCCTCCTAATTATAATGTGATTGAAATTATTGTTATAGATTTTTATAACTATAAAATTTTACTGGATGGTAGAAATTGGGTTAAAAATACTAAATATCAAAAAATATCATGAACCAAACTTAGAGAAGTTCAGGTAGTGTCAAGTGATATTATGTGTAATATTATGAGCTTAATAACTAAACAAGGCAGAATTATTATTCCTCAAGAAGAAAAAATAATAATCTAGTACATACAGAAGTTTTGAATCAGTGTAATACTGACCATTTACCTATTACATCAGCAAAATTTAAAGATTTATTGAGTCTTTGTCAAGGATGTATAATAAATACGCCTACCATAAAGTTTATCAACAATTGTCACACAGTGGAACTTTTGCAGAACAGAACAGAAGCTATTTATCTGGATTACATTTTGATTACATTTTATTATCCGTTGTTATACTGTCATAAATATTACGAACAAAATAACTAAGTATTTCATTTTAAGTAGTTTTTACTTAATGTTGTTTAATTTCGAAGGATCATTATTTTTTAATTTTGTATAAGTTTATTATAATTATTAGTTACCTATGTTTTGTATTATTTTACAAGGTGCAGATTATTCTTTTTTTATTTATTTTTATTTGTATGAATAAACCCAAATAACTAATCTGAGACTTTAAAAGACTGATTAATGCCAGTTCATATAATTTTGATTACTTTTAAATGCCATGAGCCAGTGCCTAAAGTTTTGTTTAATTCTTGAAAAGTTATATTTATGTTTTTTTTACAAAACTTTACGTAATTCATTAATATAATGATCGTAATGATGCAAGAAGACTGAATTATATACCTACGATTAAAGTTATTTTAATAAAGTTGATTTGAGCTAAAACTTGTCATGCTTTTTTTCATCAATTACCTCCATACGACCCTTTTTTCAGAGATAAGAAGATGAGTTTACACGCAGCATAAAGTCGTAATTTAAACTTACGCGTTGTCTATATCCATCTGATTTGAAGCATAAGGTCGCAACAATAAGATACGACGTTTTTGCAACCAGTATAAGGTCGTATGTAATTAAAATTGGCTATTTCTGTGTAAATATGTTTTTTTATAACACGCAGAGCCTAGTATAATGTTCTTAAACTAATTATTGATCATATAGTGCAAAAACACTAGTTGAAAATGTTTCAAATGTCAATTATAACAATAATGTTCATAAAAATATCTCTCCTGAAAAAATACATATTATGGTCTTACGACCTAATGCGTGGGAGGCGTCGAAATATATTATGCATGGGCATACTCAGGTGGGGGCACCCCGCCGCCGCTGCCCCTCCCCCCCCTGGATCTTTTAACCCTGTTAACAAAAAAAAAATGCGCTGCGCGCCCGTTCCACTTGTGTACATACAACACGCTAGAGCAGCAAGCGAGCTGTGAGCTCACTGTTCGCCAGCCACTCGCTGCCGCGCCAACGACTTACGAAGATTATCGAATCTAATCTAGGGCTCGTGTACTGGCCTGCAAGCTCGTATTTGACATGTTATTGTTTTGAAAGAGCCAAACTTAGGTGACGAAAAATAATTAATGTCCATATCTATACATATAATAAATTGTAACTGATCGCTGTCTGTACATGGGAGATATTTGAGAAAAACTATTATTAGGGTTTTTATTAATGCGATAGAACCCAAAATAATGATTTTTAGAATTTTTGTCTGTTTGTCTGTGCGTTTATGCGCGCTAATCTCAGAAACGGCTTAACCGATTTGGATGCAATTTTCACGAATGTATTTTATGGTAAGCTTCACTTAACATTTTGTATTTGTTTTATTTCAATTGGTTCATAAATAAAAAAATCTGTCAATTTAATAAAAAAAACAAGAAACATTTATTGGAAAAAAAAGTGGTGTATACTTATGTATGTACATAAGAAGTTATACTTCTTTGTTTTATTAGAGCAATTAAATAAAACCTTTTTTTTAAATGTTTCTTACTTTTTTTCGTATTCTTCTCAGCAAACTCTTTCATTTGATATCCATATCATGGCGATGCAAAATAAACAGTCCGCCATATTAAATTTTATAATGATGTCACTTTGCTTGTTGTGTTTCGCTCATCAAGCCCTTTCATTTGATACCCATATCATATGGGTCACTATGGAAATAATAAATCGCCATTTTGTAACGTCCGTCTGTCGTATTGGATTAAAAATGGCGGCATTTAGGAAATTGTGCAGTCACGATAGTCAAACGTGTGTGCCGAATTTCAGCTCAATCGAACAATTGGAAGTGGGAGAAATTTAACTTGTAAGATTTTATTACAGACAGACACCGAGACAGGTGAATCTAAATAAAAGCTTGTAATATTTTTTATATTTATCGATGTAAAACACGTGTTGTGTATATAGAAATACCGGAATATATATCTTGAATATAAACATCTCACTATACTAAAGGGAGATTTAACGACTAACTTCACATTGTAGTCAATAACCACTAACTTTATACTTACTACATATTATGTAGTCTAAATCTGTCACAAATCACTCTCATCATACATTTTTCATAACGCGCCAAAAGAAGTATAACTTCAAAAATGTTATAAAATACTGTTCAGTTGATTTGGCTGAAACTTTGGTTAATCCATACTAATATTATAAATGTGAGTGTGTTTGTTTGTCCTTCTTTCACGTCCATATGAAGTGACGGATTGAAGGAAAGAAAGCCGCGGGTTCTGCTGTTATATTTTAATATGTATTTTGTAAAATGATGATGATTGAAAGTTTATATGGACACAGCAAAGTCAAATTAAAAGTCAAAAAACAAAAAAATAATTAGGGTTCGGTACAAAAAAATTAAAATCCATGAAATTGTGAACAAAATCCGCGTAGGTACTAGGGATGCACCCAAGCGAATCGAGGATAAGTCGTTATTTTGTCTACCTATATGGAAATACCTATATGGTATTTAAAAAATCTAGTATATATTAAGTGTGCAATCTGTTGAACGATAATAAAAAGTGCCCTAAATAAAAATGTACATTCGGATTTTTTTTATTCGTCATGTAGTGTGTAGGGAAACACAAGTACGGGAGACCAGGTTTAATAAATTTCTGTTATGGTAACCCCCCCAATGGAGTACGCCCATGATATTATGTGTATATTTTTCATATTAAAATTGTTTCAGACTGAATTATCGCAAACTCTTCATCAATTATCAGAAGAAGCCAAAGCAATGACTGAATATATTCAACTAGTCAAGGGATCAGGAGATAAAATTAATGTATGTATCAGTCTCTATAATCATTCAATCAATCAGGGTCCATAAGGATTTAAAAAAAACTTATTTATTTATAATTCGGTATTTTATTTTTAATTTCAATGTATTTCTTTTTAATTATAAATAAAAGGAATGTAGACTATTTTTATTACTGAGGCCTACGTTCAAATAATTATTTAATTGTAGACTGAGATCTTTCTTCACTACCCTGAATACATCAAGGCGTTAAACCTGCAACCAATACTTATATATATTAAATTGGTATATTTAAATATACTTAAATCATACATACATTTCTTAATATTTTTTACCTACTCAATATGAATATTTATAGATGGCTAGAGATAACCATAAATGTATGACATATATTTATTTATTTTATATTAAATTATTTATTACTATATTTACTTTTCTATATTCAATTTTATTTATTACAACTTAGTGTCTTGCAATAGACATTATAAGTAACAGTTGTGTGCATACTATATTATTGCTACAAAAAAATGTAATTTTATTTTTATAGGAATCATGTGAGGAGCTGGAAAGACAAATAGACCAGACATGTGCAGAAATTACCCGTGCAGTAGAACGGAGGCGAGACGAATTAGTTAGGGCAGCGCGAAACACTAGATCACAAGCCGTAGCCAACATGCGCTCTCTAACCTCACAGGCCGCGCAGAAGCTACGTGAGGCAACAGCATTACTGCATTTCTCTATTGAAGCTCTAAAAGAATCTGATCATGCCGCTTTCTTACAGGTACATTCAAATAATATTTATATATTTAGATATTTTACAATTTTGAATGTAGAACATTATTTGATTATGATAAATAATATATTAATTGTAGTATTATAACTACTATATCAATGAGTAATAAAATATTTAAGTAGTAAAATAACGTTTTACAATACAGGTCGGTAAAATTTTGTCAGCACGGGCTCAAGAGACGACGACTGGGTTACGTTCGTCTTTGGACGCCCCGCCCTCTCCCCCCGCGCTCACGCTCGACATCGAGCCCGTGTTGCGCACCGTCAATACTATGAACTTTGTTGAATGCATACGTGAGTATGATCAATCGTATTTGGCAATTCAAATTAAAAAAATTACCCTCTTAAATGACCTCTCACTCAATTGTAACGAATTGTTATGTGAAAATAGAGAGTGAGATTAAATATGGCGAGTCATTAAACCTACACTATCAGCATATTATGATTTAAGCAACAATGAATATACAGCATAAAGAATATTTTACCTCCTGATAATATAAAATTCCATTCATTATTATCTGCTTATTTTATAATTGATTTGGTCAGGTTTTATAAAGTATATTCACCTTTACTAATATCGTTGCTTATCGATGAAGTTGAGAGGCGTTAGATTATAAACTAAGTAATATACATTGATAAGTATCACAGCATCTATTATCATGATGCATCTAGCAGTTATAAAATTTTCACTAGAAATGAAAATAAACTAAATACTTTTAATTTTTTTATTGTTTTGTACAATTTAAATTGTAACTTTTTATATTATACTAATCACATTACTAAAATGCAATTACGATTACTTCTACATGTGTATTAAAATCTTTATAAAAAAGTGTTCTTAAGTATATAAAAGTTCAATAACTATATACCTATTATCGCTATCATTCGGAATGCAGCTCCAGAAAAGGAAATGAAGACATCAGGTAACAGACTACTTATTAAAAACGTTAAATTGACCCTCACAATGATTTTTGAAGTGTAAGGTTTTTTGTGCATCCTCTTAAACATGTAAAATAGGTAAAATTTAATATTAACTGTTATCATAAAGGATTGTGTTTAAGAATTACATAATATTATTTATTATTATTAGACACTAGACAGTAAGTAGGTACTTAGGCGACCGAGCTTCGCTCGGCATTTTTCGGCAAACATTTAAAAATCGCATTTTGCTTAGATAAACTTAAAAAACAAAACGTTATCTAATTACAAAATTTTATCTAAATCGTTAAAGCCGTTTCCGAGATGCACAAAATTAACTAACGACTTATTCGCGCTTCGCTCGGGTTCGTCCCTAGGTACGTTTTAACGGTTAGTATGGAATCATAGACTATTATATCTCATATATATAAAAGAAAGTCGTGTTAGTTACACTATTTATAACTCCAGAACGGCTGAACCGATTTGGCTGAAAATTGGCGGGGAGGTAACTTAGAACCCAGAGACGGACATAGGATACTTTTTATCCCGTTCGACTGCGTTCCCGTGTGATATTGTTTGTCTGTTTGTACGGGCTAATCTCCGAATCTATTGGACCGATTTAAATTAATTTTTGCATGGTGGTACCTTATATACCCGGACAACGTCTTAGATATTTTATCCCGGAAAATATAATGGTTCCCGTGGGATAGTTAAAAAACTATTATAACTTATACCACTTATGCACCTAATTTAGTAAAATTTAACATTCTGATACCTTATATTGCCGGTCAAACAACCGGTTACTTTTCATCCGGGAAAAATGAACGGTTCCCGTAGGAACTAATAGATTTTTATTAGTGTTTTTCTATACATATAATAAACTTGTAAGCCGAATCTGTACATTAAATATTTTTTGGAAAACCTTATTGAAATAGACATTATTATCGATACAGAGACCGAATCTATATATTTTAGAATTTTTGTCTGTCTGTGTGTTACCGCATCACGGAAAAACCACTGGAGGGATTTTGATGAAATTTGGTATGATGATAGCTGGTTATCCGGGTCAACATATAGGATACTTTTTACCGCGGGAAAATATCTCATTTCTGAGAAAAAATACAAAACTGCAATGTAAGACTGTACTAATATGTAAAACCTAAGAATTTAGTTTTTGGCCATCTGAACGCGGGCGGAGCCTCGGGCAATGCTAGTACATAAATACAAAATAAACATTTCTGAATTTTTTGATTTTCCAGTTGGTTTTTTTGGGTTTTCCCTTTTTTTATACTTAAGCCACCCCTGACCCCCCCCCCCCCCCCCACAAAAAGAATTATTCAAAGTTCTTGAGTTTTAGGGAGACAAACGTATATAGATATATTATGGTAGCGCAATAATCGTCTTTTTATTCTTGTCTTGTATGAAAATACGCTACTTTTTCATAATTCGTTGGCTTACTATTACAAGGTTCTATGTTAATTTTAATGAAATTTAGTAATTTTTACATAGAACTTCGTTATTTTGTTATCGTAAAAAAACAACATAGAACTATGTAAAATTGAATATTTTGTAGTTAAAGTGCCGCTATCTAGTGGTTTATTTTTGCAAAACTGTAGCTAATGACACAGAACCTTGTAGCATTAATAACTAAATAAGTACTAAAATTGTAACATAGAACCTTGTAATAGTGAGCCAACGAATTATATTAACAGTCCTCTTAAAAGATCAGTTCAAAAAAAATGTCTATGGGTCAAAATACTTTTTTTTTTGTTTTTTAAATTTTTTTTCTCGCTACGGTAAAATTTAGTACCTAAAAAATAGTAACTTCCTCAAAGTTACAGCTTAAAATATTGATTTTTAAAGGTCACTCAGAATAATTTATGAACATTCTTAAATTCATGGCTTTTGATGTTTCCTAGCGAATTTTTAATAATATTTAAGCGACCCCTAAAATTTTTTTTCGAGCTGATCTTTAAAGAGGAATGTTAAAACATATGAATATGAATCAAGAATAAAATTACTCTATTTTAGAAAGTTTACTTAACAGTATAGTGGAATTTTACATCGTTAATTTAAATCAATTTTTATTTTAACTGTATAATTATTATCGCAGTTGTATTAAAAACATTATTTCAAACTACAAGAGAAACTTGATAATATAATTAAGAAATAGCGATTTATGCTTTGTGTAAAAAGGTACTGAGTAATATTTATATATATAAAGAGAATATGTAGTTGCAAGAATCATTTGGATTCATCTATGATTCTATAGTAATATTATAATGAGACAGTTTATTCAGTTGAACGCGCTAATCTCGAGAACTACTAATCCGATTCGAAAAAAATCTTTTTTAATTAGGTAGCCCGTTTATTGAGGAAGGCTATGGTTATATATGATCCCGGAAAATGTACGGTTCCCGTGGAATAGATTTATTTATCTATCTATAACAAACAAAGATAACGCTAACACACATTGATAACGATTTAGTATAGTATAAAGATAAGAGAATGTTAATAACTGACACCATTTACAGTGCTTGTACCGTTATAACCAATAAGCCGTAAAAGCATTAAATTACGAAACATTTTATCTATATTAACAATATAAAATATTCATTTTTTTTATATCTACATTAATAAAAATGAAATGTTGGTAAACAAGGATATGGACTCTACTAAACTATTCCGAAAAATTATAAAATTTGATTAAAAAAAGATTTTTTTTTCTGTAGGATTTTAGCATGGACTCAAAAATCACAAACAAATTGTTGATGTTTGGACAGGACATCATCTGTAGATATGGCTAGTATATTCATAAACTATACCTAAAAGTATCATTGTGAAGTTACATACAGCCCTTTTTAACGTCCCACTATGCCAAGTGCGGGTTGGCGAACTTCACATGTCTTTTGAAAACCAAAGTTTCAAACATGCAGGTTTCAGACATGCAGGTTTCACGGTTCTCAGACATGCAGGTTTCCTCATGATATTTTCCTTCATCGTTAAGACAAGTGGCAATCATGTTGGAAATGATTCGCGTGTTACCAATGGGCTTAATGTGATCCCTAGACATGATATGTTTTACTTACCGTCAGTCATACTTGGTTGTCAAACTTGCAGGAAGCAAAAAATGAGTTAATAATTTCTATAACGAAACTACTATTACTTAAGCTGATATTTTTTATAAATTTGTAGACACGCATCTTAAGTCTAGCCTATTGTTAAGAGTCAATAAAATCATAATTATGTACTAATAAACGGAAATATATCGTTACATTTAGAAACGAAGTATCCTCCATCCGAATTGAGAACTTCTTAATACTTCCTACATTTAGTAAATGTAATTGTTTAATTAGTTGTAAATGTCATTTACGTGAATATTTGACATCATTGTCACGGATGCTTGATTGCTATAAAGTGTAAAGCATTCGAAACGTCGGGAACCAAAAATCAAAATAATTCCACGACAAAATTCGAAGTGATAGTTTTATTCAAAATGAGAACTTCTTTTTTGAAGTCGGAAAAAAAATGACACTATATTGTATTCCAGCGCCAAGCGCTCCCGAGATGGCGGTGGAGGCGTGCGCGGCGCGCGGCTGCTCGTGCACGCTGGCGTGGCGCGCGCCCAGCGCTCCGCAGGCTGTGCGCGGGTACGTGCTCGAGCTCGACGACGGGCTGGGCGGACCTTTCCGGGTAAAGGCTTTTTCATTTTATTCATTGACTTATTTATTTTAAAGACACACCATCCACCTATCATAATAACACTTCGTCCAGTTATTATTTGTAAAATATACCAAATACCATGTATGTATCTATGTATAGCTACAGTGTACACTGTACATATTTAATTAGTTATGATTGGCATTTTGTATACAGAATCTCATTAGTTTTAGTTGTCATGATTAAAAGATATATCTATACATATAAAAGCAATATATAAATAAATATTTATTAGCTCCCAATTAATATGTATATATGTCGCAGATGGATTGTCGAATCAGCTATTTTACATAACAGCTCCGTTATGTAATACAACTGAACGACATTTTGCGTTTTTTTTATAATTACTGAACTTTAATACGCAGAATAGTGTGACCGTTTTGCATTTATTAAAGCAGCGAATAAATTATTAGTGGTTATGTAAAACAGCGACTCTTTAGGTCTTTTTTAAATCCATACATTAAATAAAAAAAATACAGTAGATGATCGCCATTGATTTTCGGTAATCCCGCTAAACACCAGGGTTTTCAAAATAACAAATTTTCATAACTTTCAAATTTAAAGGGTTGTAGTGCCATCTTGTGTCAAGTTACACTGTTATATATTTAACCCTAAAGCTGTTTCCCAACAGTCATATAAAAGAACGTATGAGAGTCGGGTGCGTCTGTCTATATGCTTTTATTAGACGACTGTACGATTAGTACCCAGTCACGAGATCATCACAATCACTTATGGACACCTCTTAGCTTTAATTCAAGAGTTGTAGTTATGTTCATGAATTTCTTACACTTTATCATTTCCCATTTCCAGGAAGTTTACTGTGGGAGGGAGACAGTGTGCACAATCGATGGCCTCCACTACGCTTCGTTGTACAGCGCTCGAGTGAAGGCCTTCAATGGTGCGGGAGAAGGGCCGTACAGTGAAGTGATAGGTTTACAAACTTCGCCTGGTGTGTATGAAAACATAACTTTAAATGTTAACATTGTTTTTAATTTAAGTTTATCTAATGTAGCTTGTTAAGATGAACGTTTAAAGTAGCGAGTTGAACAAAATTCATAACGATCTGCTTGTTGCTTTGAAGACAGAGACAAAAGAATAATAATATGAAATATAAAACGTAAATCTTTAACTTTGGTTGTACTCATATATATATTATTTATTACAATGATACACCATCGACTTATCATAATGACACTATAATTATTGTAACATATACATGCAATTCGGTATGATTCGCCTTTAGGTGTATACAGCATTTTACTTACAATTGTTTACATATATCTAGTTATATTGTGTTAAGGATTACGCAGAAAATATAGAAGGTGGTAGCTAAATGACTTTATGTATAATAATATAAATGTAATAATAGTAAAGGGGTCATTTTATCTAAGTTAATCAGAATTAAGCTAATTTCGTCGGTGACCTTTCGCAGCTTGTGTTAATTTCAAACGGGTCGTAAACTTAGGGCCTACTAGGACAACCTTCGCTTTTTTGGATTCGTTCCTACGTACGTTTTGATGATTACTATAGAATGGATAATCGATTTTTTGCTCTGTGAAAAACAAAAATAAATTTATCTCACAGGAACTGTTTCTGTATTCTATCTCTGTGCCAAACTTCATCCAGATTCGTTCAGCTGAAAGTGATTCTGGCGTGATCTGGTAACAAACATTCATCCATCCAAACTTTCAAATCTATATTAACATTATAAAGAGGTAAAGTTTGTGAGTTTGTGACATTCTAGGGGGTAATCTCTGGATTTACTGAACCGATTTAGATGAAATTTTGTAAGAAGATAGTTTGAGGCCCTGGGAAGGACATAGGATACTTTTTTTTAATTTATTCAGGTAAAAACAGTCGTATACAAAAAATCTAAAACAGTAAGAATACAATTAGACCTATATTACCCTTTTTTTCAACCGACTTCAAAAAGGAGGAGGTTCTCAATTCGACTGTATTTTTTTTTATGTTTGTTACCTCAGAACTCCGTCATTTATTAACCGATTTGGACAATTTTTGTGTCATTTGAAAGTGTATACTTCCAGATTGGTCCCATTTAAATTTCAAAAAAAAAATACCACCCCTAAGGGTGGAAAAATAGCTAATGATGAATTTAACCTGCTTCTAATTGTCATATTGACTTGAAACTTTGCAAGTGTTTCTATTTCCGTTCATAGTACAGTGGTTCGGTATTGTTGACCTGATCTGATAGTAAGGCCAGAAGGTGGATAGGTGGAACTCTTCAACGGCTAATAGTAGATACTTTGAGTTTGGGCTTATTTTGTTTGATTTAACAAGCCTAACACGTTAGAATTCTTACTTTGCTACTACTGTCTACACTAAAAAGGGAAAAATAAAAACTTTTTAACAAAAAAATAAAAACCTACTTCAAACAAATACACTAAAAAGTAAAAAATAACTGATTGGCAGTTTTCATTTACTATACATACCTAATCGCAGGATCGTTTACGCATTCAACTACGACGCCCCGACGGCAGGTCTGCCGAAATAGACCACAACAACCACGGGGTTGCTCCAAGGTCCACTCTGCTATCAAAGAAATACCAGGAGCAACCCGCATGGTACACCGCCCTCCGAAGAGGGCCACCTCTCACCGCCCACCGAAGCGGGCCACCACCCTGTGCGTTTCTTGGCTTCGCCCCCGGCTGTATTGCCGGGCACTACAGAGCCCCCCCACCACGACAAGGTGAACGCACGTTGGGGGGGAGACCTATATTACCCTAAATTATTACAAATGAACTGATTTGTCATCAAAAGTGACGGATGCGAAATAAGTATGTTTAAAAATAATAAGTGAAACTAATTAAATAAAAATATTAAATAAAACTAAATTGATGCTACTAAAAAGAAACAAAAATACATATGTCTTATACAAGATTTAGAAATAAATAAGTTTATACAAACTTTCCGAAAAACTAAAACATTGATTGGTTTGTACCTACTGGCAAAATATAGAAAGCAATTATAGTAATAGTAACAAATAAATTTTAATAATATTATCATAGTACAAATAATAAACAATAAAAGCCCATAGTTAGAATATTATACGAAACACTTGCTTTTTATACATACTTAGTTTACACGAAAAAATATCAACAACAGTTAAATTATTAGAATGAACAAGAACGCCTGAGAAAGTTATTTTTTGCATACCTAGTATAATATGAAGGTATATGAAATGTATCTTTGTGTAATTGGAACGAGAGGAAGAGGAGCGGGGAATTTTGAAAAAGATGAGGTTTAATAAATCTGTGGAGTTTACATAGTTATTAACAATTTTGTATAAGTATATGGTATCTAAATAATTACGCCTGGAGTGCAAAAGCTGCATATTATGTCTTGTCAAACTCTCCTCGTAGTCGGTATAATAAAAACCAGTACGATAGTCCAGAGACTTCACGAACTTCCGTTGCACTTTTTCAATTCTTTGGATGTGTACCATCCATTTTTATCCCGTAAATCATCCTTCCATCCTCATTAAGGGGATGAAAGTTTGTATTGGGAAGCAAGCCAGGGACGAACCCGAGCGAAGCGAGGGTGAGTGGCTAGTTTATAATATAATGGAACGCGCACCGGGTTTTCGAACAAGGTTTTCTCATTGAAATGGTATACGCGTGTGTGCAGTGGCGTGGTTCACGTGGGACGCGCGGTGCGCGGCGGGCGCGCGCGCGGAGGGCGGGCTGGCACTGAGCGCGGACGGGCTGTGCGCGCGCGCGGGCGGCTGGCAGCCGCGCGTGGCGCTGGCCGACCAGCCGCTGGCGCGCGGCCTGCACTACTGGCGCCTGCGGGTCGACGACTACGACGGCGACGCCGACCCCGCCTTCGGCGTGGCCAGGGCGGACGTCGCCAGGGATAAGATGCTCGGTGAGTGCTCATGTTGTGTATTACACATTAAATTGAAGTCTCTTTGTAATGTCGAAGTAACATTAATCTGAAAGTATATACGGTATTTATAAGTAAATAAATATATATATATATATATATATATATATATATATATATATATATATACACACTACCGTGTCAAAAGTAAATAGACACTTATAAATATATCATTTTTTCTAAGAATACGCAATCGGGTGGTTCTGAAAAAAATATTAAAGTATATGGGGTCTGAACCTAATTTATTAACACTATACTCAAAATACCGTGTATATCTGGGACGTTAGAATTAACCGATTTTATTCGAGAGTGTATTGTCGGCCAATTTGGAGGTTGTAAGTCTGGGCTCTAAATCAGGGCTAGATTAAATGTGCCTTTGTCAATTGTTAATTGGAAAATCATACAACTTAAAAGAGATAGAAAGACAAGCATTTCGCCAAGATCAGGGAGATCTGAGCCGTCTGCCAGGCAACAGAGTGCGGTACTTCAAAAATCTTATCTTTAAATAGGTTGGGTCAAACTATTCAGAAGTATTTACACATTATTGATTTTTATAAAAGAGTAGCCAAAAAGAAACTTTTGTTGACAAAATTTCCAAAAATGCGAAGATATGATTAGTCACAGGATATGATATCTAAGGATGATGAACTTTTCGAGGCGAGTTATTTTTTCAGACGAATCGGGATATTTTCAGTTTAGCAACAACGGAGTGAAATGGATGTGACGTCGTGCAGTAATGTAGTTGGAAAACCGATTTTTGCAACATCCTGTAAAAAAGACCGGAATAAGTGTTATGGTTTGGGAGGCTAGTTGGTATGGTGGAAGAAGTGGCCTGGTTTTCTGTGATGATAAAATTAATACGAAAAAATATACTAATATTCCAAAGTAAGATCCTTCTACCTATCTTTCAACGTATTAATTTGAATTACAAAGAATACATTCTCATGGAAGATGGTGCACCATGTTATAGAGCTCAAAAAATGACTGTCTGGTCAAATCAATCACATGATATGAGTCCAATTAAGAAAGCTTGGCACCTTTTACAAAATAAATGTTGCGAAAAGGCCAGTGAAACCCTCGAATAAAAAAGAGTAGACATGATTTTAGTTAAAGAATGGGTTAATTTACAAACAAGAGCCGATCAATAAATTGATTAATACTATAAAAGCTAGAATAAAATAGTTGTTTTATAATAAAGGAGGATCGACACGATACTAATAATCATGCATTCGTTTTTATATATATACTGCCTCGGTGGTGTAGTGGCTAGCATGTACGGCTGCACACCCGGAGGTCCTGGGTTCGAGTCCCGGGTCGGGCCAAGTATAGTTATCGAGTCTTTCTGTATAGTACCTAAGTCTCAGTAACAGCCCGGAGTTGGAAAGTTGGCGGTGTTTCACCCCCGTGCCTCGGAGAGCACGTAAAGCTGTCGGTCCTGCGCCTTAACTCTCACCACGCGAGGAGTTGTCCCACCGGAGTATGAGAGTGACAGGAATTGGACACTTGAGCACTATAATATCTCCTGCTCAGTTGGCTAATCTCAATGAGATTGGCCGCCGTAGCCGGAATCGGCTAGGAGAACATCATCATCATCATATATATATATATATATATATATATATATATATATATCGAGCGGATGCGTTTTTAAGGGAAAAAACGGTTCTCTCCTGGTCCTCCCACTTCCCGACCTCAGATCGCCCGTAAATTATTTTTCCTTTCATTTTTGTTGTATTCTCTTCCTTTTCCAAAGGGTTTCATCCTACTATTATTATTTTTCCCACTTTTTACCATTTTCAAATGCCTGGTCTATTTCATATCATTAGATTTAAAAAAAGACTTATTTTAGTAAAAAAAAAAATCTTTTAATTTTCTTCTATACAAAACTTGTCCTGAAAAACAAATACAAACAAAAAAATTATACAATTTGGTGCAGTCGATCGGAAGTTATGCGCGTACATACATTTCGGTTATTCATTTTTATTTATATATATTTATAGTATATAAAAACAATCGACAGGTAGCGACGCGCTAGGCTGGGCGATGTACATAGACGGGTCGCGGTCGTGGTTCGTGCACGGCGGCGCGCACGGCGGCCGCGCGGCCGGCGGCGTGGCGCGCGGCGCCTGCGTCGGCGTGCTGCTCGACCTCACGCGCGGCACGCTGCGCTTCACGGTGGACGACCGCCCGCAGGTACCTGGCCTGTACAGGTGGTTATGTAGCTACCACCTGTACAGTACTACCCGCTAGAACCCAACGAAACCTCCCCCGTCTTACGGCCGATTCCAATAGGCGATCTCAATCCATTTTTACCGATCTTGAGTTGGCGATCCGAATTTTAGAAAAACCGTTTCTTTAACCGAACCATAGATTGATTATGCAATCCAAAAATACAATCTATCCGTCAGAGGGCACCGACCCGGATTCGAACAGTTTTCAAATCGTCCTCTGTTCAAAAATGGCAGTGAATGGGGCGCACAGGATTACTTACGCACTCCACCACGACGCCCCGGGGGCAGGTGTGCCGAAGCAGACTACACAACCAAGGGGTTGCTCCCACGGTCCACTTTGCTGTCAGAGAAGTACCAGAAGCAAGCAACCCGCACGGCAGTCCGCCCACGGCGCCCGGCTGGACTGTCGGACGCTTATGAGGCTCCCCACCACGACAAACTGAATACACATTGGGGACACCAACATGCCTTATCTATACTAATATAATAAAGAGGTAAAGTTTATGAATTGTGAGTTTGTGACGTTGTAGGGGGTAATCTCTGGGTCTACTGAACCGATTTAGATGAAATTTGGTAAGAAGATAGTTTGAAACCCTGGGAAGGACATAGGATACTTTTTATCACGCCTAAGGGGGTAAAAAAGGGGATGAAAGTTTGTATTGGGAAGCAAGCTAGGGACGAACACGAGCGAAACGATGGTGAGTCGCTAGTCAAAAATATTTTTGTGTACCAGGGCGACATAGCGTTCACGGGGCTGCGCGGCGCCTTCTACCCCGCCGTGTCGCTGAACCGCGGCGTGGCCGTCACGCTGCAGCCCGGCCTGCCGCCGCCACCCGACCTGCTCATGTCCAACCTTACCATAGACTAAATAGTAAATATGCATTAAGTTAATCTATTTTTTTTTGTTGACGAATTAATTCGTTGTTTGGTTTCTGACATCTTGTTATCTCTACAGCAAATATGGTCATGGAAGGTTGTTGACATCTCAGAAGTTATTTGTAGTGATTACAAATAGACTACCTATTAATTATACATTAATTTTGATGACGAGAATTGGCACTGGAATACCTTATAATTAATATTATTTAAAAAAAAATTGTATGATATTTAAAATATTAATATTCTAAGATTTCCTTTTCTGCTAGTAGTGCTATTTCACTTTTATTCCATTACATTCGTAATTTCGAGTACCAAGAACGAAAATAAAAATATCGGAAAAAATAGTTTTATTGAATTTATCAAATATTCGCGTAAGGATTAAAAATTATTTAATAATTCTAATCGAATTACTTCCCATTGTTAAATTAACTTATTAATTATATACTTTTTGCCAAAGTGCTGTATCAGAATTTGGTTAAATAATGAGTGGTTTTTTGTTTTTCGATTAGACAAACTTCCACTTGTCTTAAACTATAGTGAATTATTTCCGTAGCTAGTTATTAATATTTAATATGCATGAAAGTGTGATATTTCTTGCTTCGGAATTACTTTTAGATCCGCCTCAAAGTTTAGATAATAGTAGGGGAGCCCAAGAGGGGATTTTCTGTAGTTACTCGAGCGCGGCAGATTAATATACAGGGGGATACCTTGTACCCGGTTAAGTACCTCCACAAAACATGAGGCCCATATATAAGGCCGCCCGTGAAGGATACAGGATCAGATTAGTAAAAAAAAATTGACCACCAGAAATTCTCGAGCGCGTCAGATTAAGGTAGGGTGAGTTAATTACATCCTAAAAAGTGTATATTCCACTAATCTGACAATTTGAGAGTGACGTAAAAAAAGGGGAGGGCAACAAAGTTGTAAAAAAAAACGTCATCTCGACATTCTCGAGCGTAGCTAATTTTTTTTTTATTTTGAAGGAAATAATGCAAGAATAATGAAAAATATATAATCTGACGATTTCCGCAAGCCGAAATAACAAAAATTCGTCGATAAAGTTAAATGCGTGCAGCTGCGTGATGCCTACATTTCCTTCTCCGCGTTTCTATTCCTCTCTCACTCTTTCCTCTCTCACTCCGTCCCCACTCTGGTTTCTGCCGCCATGACACCATCACAGCTGATCATAAAGAGTCTAGGGTGTGCGAACATCGTTCGAATCGAATCGAAATTCGAAAAATTTCGAATAATTCGTAAAAATTTCGAATAATTCGAAAGTTTTCGAATAATTCGCGAATTAATGAAATATCTCTGGATCTTCAATTGTATCCATTTAAATTCCTTCAAATCCTGTGTCAAAATTGTCTACTTACGAATAATATACTTTTCGTTTAAAAATAAATTACCCAGAGATAACAATTGCTCATTTTTTAAATTTGCAATATATGTTCGAATTATTCGAAATTTTTCGAATTATTCGGGAACTTTCGAATAATTCGAATTTTCGAATTATTCGATTCGAGTTTCGAATCGAATATTAATATTCGATTCGGAACGAATAATTCGTAAGTTCGAATTATTCGCACACCCTGTTGTATTAGTTTATCAACCGACTTCAAAAAGGAGGAGGTTCTCAATTCGACTGTATGTTTTTTTTTTATTTTTTTTTTTTTTATGTTTGTTACCTCAGAACTAAGAAATATAATTCTAAATATATTCTATATATATATATATATATATATATATATATATATATATATATATATATATATATACTATACATATATAGAATTAGCGGGAAGTTGCAGGTATGGCCTTTAAGGTGAACCGTTTTTCTAAATTTTTTTTGTCAGATCAGGCGAATCCCTCTAGATAATCGTCAGATTATGAGACAGTACGTTTAGAACATAAAGATGAACCATATATATCTTAATCTGACGCGCTTGAGTATTTCAAAATGGCGATTTTTTTTTGCACATTATGAAAATGGCCGCGAGTTTGCGTCCCATCGAAATCGTCAGATTAGTGAATGAGAGCTTTTTTTTGGTGCACTTAACACTCCCTTAGAAAATCTGACGCGCTCGATTAAATTTTTTTTTTTTCATTTTCAACCCTTAAATACAACCACCCGCATCATGCAAACGATCAGATTAACATACGTACATTATTAAAAATACGTAGGGCATTTATGCTATCAATATCTGACGCGCTCGAGGATGTCTATGCAACAGTTTTTTTTTACATATTTAAAAATCTATAGCCGCTTCCCCCACCGATGTAAAGGTATATATCATATAACATTTTTTTCTTCTTATCATCTAAGCTTTGCATCCCAATAGGTCTCTACGACGCTCGAGTAAATCCCCATTTAGCATCGTGGGCTCCCCTACCATAAGGTTAATGCCCACTTTCGCCAAATATTCTTTTAAGACGTAATGTATTAAAATTAACCGGCCCAAAACTAAACCCTCGTGAAAGAGTGGTTCGGTTTGTTTGTGACTTAAAATTTAAAAAATATGTAATATGTTCTAATGGTATCAAATTCGATAATATTTAAAATCTACTAAAAAAAGGGGAAATTATTTTTTTAAGAAAGTAGGTTAAATTAATTTGCCACCTTGTATACCAGGCTTACAACCTATGTTGATTTGTACCTGTCCAAGTAATCGTTAAAAAAGTGTATTATATATAAAGTGTATTTATTAAAATATACTTTAGTGGCCTCCGGTTATTATATCCGTGTCAAAAGGTGTGTATAATTACGAATTTATATAAACCCTATCCTTTATAAAATTAATTAGAATATCGTCATCATATCTAGTGCAAAAGTCATTATGTTATGTAAATATCTATTGAATATCTCAATTATTTTTTTGTAGAAATCATTTGGAAATTTGTTTGCATAAAACATAAGTACAATAAATTAAACTCCATTCGTACGTGACTTTAAATGTAGCATTAAGTAAAATGTCATTATCTTTATTTTAATTTACACACATAGTTTTTACTATTATATATATAAACAAATGTATTTAAAAACCTTAATAATTAAAATGCATTTTATGCATATTTAATTTATTTTATGTAATATATTTCAAATAGGAGAGTTATATTTGAATGCTCATAAGCTGACTTGGAATGAATTAATGAATATAGTAAATGATAAAGATGAACATTTTATCTATTGGCGGTGGCTAGATTTCTCTAGTGGATATTTTCAGAACTAACGAAAGCACTAGTGGTATGAATTGTAACGGAGAGGTTTCCAATTTCATAAAGTATTAATTTATAAAATATTACAAAAATATGAAAGAACAATTAAAATATCTCAAGAAATGAAAAAGTTATGAAAGTATAAAGTTGCGCATGTAGGTATAATTCCGTGACGTCACACGACCTGAACGACCGAAATTTAAATTAATTTCTGTCATTTATTGATAGGTTTTGAAAAAATCACTGTCAAAATGATCATTTATTAATTTTGTCCTATATTATAATTCCATTACATTAAATATGATATTAACAACATCATGAAGCTTCTCCATTGTTGTAATTTCTTTGTTGTCTGCGAATACCTTTATCGATGACTTAAAGAGACACGTCCATAATGTGCCATTTTATTTTGTATGTGAACTCTCTCTTCTATAAGTGGATAATAGCGTACATAGGATGGCACACATTGCTGTATCATAGGTCGAAGTTATTGCTCCGACCTACCGGTAGTGCAGCAATGGGCGCCTAAAATCTTATTAAAACTTTTATTTATACTTAATGTTATTTGAAAATTTAATGCATTAATCTTTAATATATAAATAATGTATCTATTATTTATATATTGTTTTAGCGTCATATGCGCTTCGGCTAAAATTAAATTTTTAAAAAACAAATATAATATAAAATGAATATGATAAACGATGTAATTATGATTCCGTTCCGACGAAAAACTCCGTCGTTAGAAACACTTTGTATAGACAATACGTATATTCTACAATTGTATACTTAAAAGACTTGACTTGTTATTATTAATGTTGTAATTTGTTGAACAAATTCGCACATAAAATAATGCATAAGGGTAATTTTATTGTCATTTATATTTTCGTGTTTTATACTTTTTTAAGTCATATTTTAAACATTCGTGTGGACACTTGTGTTTGTTTATGATTATTTTATACACAATTTGTATTTTAGATAGACATTAGGAACAAATTGATGTGTTAAGATTTTAGTAACTAATATTCTTAAACTATAACTTAACATGATTTTTTAATGAATTGTTTAAACAAATAACTGTGTAACCAAGGCGGCGTGTAGCTTTTATATAGAATCATGTACTTACTTAGTATGTAAGAATAACCACTTGTTTAACTTCAAATGACAATAGCCTTTAATATTAAAGTCAATTTATTTTTAAAGAGTACGATAGATATATCCTTACTATCTTTAGGGGACCTGATGAAGCAACTAAAATATTCCATTTCCCACCTGATATTTATAAAGCTTTCCAACATTTTTTTCTTTATATTTGTTAATACATTTTGTCAAACTAACGTATTATATATATTTTTTGAATTTTTTGTGTGTTCGTAAATATAAGGTTAATTATATTTTGAAGTTTTTTTTTAATATGAGTATAGGTATTTTTAGTGTTCATTATACGAAAAGAAGTTTTGAAATGGAATCATATTTTTATTGCTTGATTTTATTATTAAGACCTGCCATATCTTAAAGCTTTTTTTATGTCATTTAAAACAATATGTATTAAATGTTTAGTCAGCAATTTGTGTTCCAAGAAAAGGTTTGTTAGTATTGTTTTCTTAAATTATTATGATTGGTACTTAATATATAATATAACTTATTAATTTTATGGATATGACTGAAGAACTTAATAAATATCCTACATTTATTTGAATTTTCATTTTCCTACAAAATTAAAAACTTAAGAATTTCCTCCCTATGAATAATCAATCTATCCGCTAAATTTCAGTTTTTACGATACGACAGAAAGCTTTCGACTACAGAAACATAATAATGCTCTGAAACCACAGCTTGAACAGAAAATCACTTAAAAACATCTGAATTTTAAAGATTAAAATTCAGAAACTAGTGGTTCACATGAGACTACCAATAAATATTCAAAACAATAGAGCTGACTTGGACCCATGGTTACACTGGTGTAACTACAACAGACAAACAGACGGATATGGCATTATAATTTAGCCTTTTGTTTACGTAACCAATAAATTAATAGTAAAATACATTTTTAAAAACAAGCTTTAATAGGTTTATTTTCTTCTTTAGCGCATTAAAATAAGTATTTTTTGTTAATAATTTATCTAATTTTTTAGTTTACAAGTCTGATCTGACCGAGTTAAGAGTAAAATGGTGTTTACAGGTAGATAAGGGTGCACTATTTAATTCAACTGAATCATAGAATGTGTAGATATATGTCGTCTATGATTTTGACTGCAGAGATCTTTCATACCCTGCGTGCAGCAGCCAGGCCATGGTGGACTTTGGAACGAGGTATGTAAAATGTCGCGTAAGTCGCACGTCTCATTGGAGTAAAGCCTTGGAGGCAGCCAAATCATGGAAAAAAAACGGTAGATTCTAGATAAAATTTCGTGTCTGAATTGTTAACAGATAGGGAGTTGATTCGTATGGAAGTATTGTACGTATTGGAGTTATTGGAAACTGGAACTGAACCAACAAAATTTCAACTCTGTAGGATAAAAGTGGCTCTATTCAGCTTGCAATATTTGTCCCATACAAAAATACCAACAAACAAATATGGCAAGTCAAAAACTTTAAAAAAACCTACAGGTATATATTGAAAGACATAAATTTTTGTGAAGAGTTTATTTTTGGCCCATTTTTAACAAGAATATATTTTTGTTTATAGAGGAAAAAACAAATCAATATATTACTATAAGACTCATTTCTTCATATTTTCTAGCACATCTTTTTGTTCTCGTAAATATTTTTACAATTTAGATACAATCAAATTAATATACATGATTTTAAAACAAGAGTTTGTTTTGTATACATAGATTTCTTTTAGTTTATATAAGTATATATCTAAATTTTAGTATAATAATTAATATAATACAGAGAGACAAAAATTTGAAAAGAAACTGAAGAGCCTACGAGATACTCAACGATGTGCCAATGTGAATTACTAGGATTGATTTTAGTCCTATTTTTGTATATGCATGATTTAAAATTGAAATATAATTCTATAAAATCATCTATGATATGCGGCCTATTTGCACTTGGCAAAGGATGAAATGGCAAAATATTGTGGCATTTTGTAATATCTTTTTAGAAACACACTATTTCGTTTGTACTAAAATATCACCCTCAAGATTTACAAGATAACATAGTATTGTATCCTCATCATACAAGCATAATTCACAGTAATAGATCTTAAGACTATCGGAAGACAAATTACAACAATTCATCTATGTTGCAACCCAACTATTATTTAACAGGCATTACAGACAGCTTCTTTTTTAGAGTTGGGTGGGGTTCACAACAGTTAACACAATGTTTCCCATGAGGATGTGATGTTATGTTGCAAGTCTTGCTTATGATCTCAGCAAATTTATTTTTTCATCAAGTGTGTAGAGATAGATTAAAATTTTCCATGTTTATGAGATTCTTATATTCATGAAAACCATATATTTCCTCTTCCTACAACCATGCCAGGCAAATGTATGATGAAATAAATATCACAGATATTTGAACAATCTTGACACACTACCCAAGTGTCTAACACAAACAACTGATATAATCAAAATATGGTAAAGAATTTATATGCAGCAAAGAGGAAACCCATAAATAAAGCAGCTTTCTGAGTTTTTTGACATGTAGTTCTCAGAATGGACCCAAACCTTGTAAGGAATTTGTAAAAAAAAGCTGAATAAATATTTCCTTCAATTCTGGCGGTTCTTTTAATGTTTACATAAGAGTATTTTGATTAAAGCATTTTAAATCCAGTAGCTTAACTGTGACCAATTCAGTAACTCTTCACATTACATCCCAAATTTTAAGCCCCCCCCCCCTTCCCCCCTAAGAGCATGACAGATTTAGTTGAACACAAATGCTCTCATTTTATTGCCCAATAAGCAGAGCAACATTCATGATACAAGCCGTAACATAATGAATTTATTCCTCCACTTTGTTAGTTTGTCACAGTTATTATTTACTCATCACCTTTATATTTTCTTTTCTATATGCATTAAGGGTTGTCAGGAATGCAAATGTTTGTTTTGAAAATATCTTTTGCAAATAAAAATGAACTATAAAATATACTTCTTTTCCTTGTAACTGAACAACCCTTTCGCAACTAACGATCTTTTCCATTACTAATACTGTGACTTTAACCGCTTAAAAATAATAAAATATTAATATTTGCAGAAAAATCAGGTGAAAACAGCACTCTGACCCTAAGTCCAAATAAATAATTACAAAACGGGACCCTCATATAATTTAGTTAGGGTGCCTGCTTGCCTATTACAAATTCTTGTCAAGTTCACTGGTTTAACCTGACTTTATATAACGGCTTGAAGTAAACAAATATTGTTTCAAGCGGCCAGAAACAACATTCCTTATGCTGATTTTTGACTTTTTTGTTACATTTCAAAATGTTCCATTTGAGCTAGACTTGAAACCTACCCATACCCGGTATAACTTTATTTTGAATTTTTTTTATTGCAAGAGAAAAGCAAACTTGTGCTAGCTCAAATACAAATGTATGGGTAGGTAAGGTTACACATTGTCAAAAGTCTACCACAATTTATGTTAAGATCGCTGACAAATTTAGATAGACTCTCACAAGAAGTAGGATACTGAGATAAATATTTTACTTTTTAACAATTGTAGGAAACCGCGCACAGAATCCAATATGGACAACGAGCGCATTGCCTTTCGTAAGTCCCGATGTTTATGTACACTTTTTAAAAATAACCCTTATCAGGTTCAAAAGTCTCACGATAAACTATATACACGCACATTTCGTTACAATAAATTCATTACACTTTACAAATGAGTTTTTTGTTTTTGCATTATAATCCTAATATCTTTCACCAAGTCAGCAAGTCCAAGCGTTACGGCGTTACTTGTCGGCGTCATCCTCGACCGAGCGCGCCACGTAAAGCGCGGGATCAATGACCTTGGGGATGGGTTTGATCTCCGTGCCGAGCTCCTGCTCGATGCGGTGCAGCGCGAAGCGGTCCTCGTACGTGATGAGGTTGATAGCGATGCCGAGGTGGCCGAAGCGGCCCGAGCGGCCGATGCGGTGCAGGTACGTCTCGGCCATGCGCGGGAAGTCGAAGTTGATGACGACGTTGACGGCCTGCACGTCGATGCCGCGCGTGAACAGGTCCGAGCACACCAGGTTGCGGCAGAGGCCGGCGCGGAAGTCGTGGAACACGCGGTTGCGGTGCGCCTGCGCCATGCGCGCGTGTATATAGTAGCAACAGTATCCCAGCTCTGTGATCTTTTTAGCTAACAGCTCCACGCGCTGAGTGGAATTGCAGAATATAATAGACTGGTTTATTTGCAACTGTAAAAAATTTAAAATCAACATTTTAAATTTAAGTGATAATTAGTGTAAAAGTATATCAAACTACTATTATATATACATATATGTGAAAGTTTGTGAGTTTGTGGTATTGTGAGTGTGACGTTGTAGGGGGGTAATCTCTGGATCTGGATGAAAGTTTGTATGGGGAATCAAGTTAGGCACGAACCCGAGCGAAGCGAGGATGAGTCGCTAGTTGAGTATAAAGAAGCAAAGTATAAAAAAATCAATGTTTTTTTAACTGATAATAATAGTAGACCAGGGTAGAAAGAAGCCTTTAAAAATAATAAAAAGTAAAAAAATAATAATAGTAGGATGCAACCCGTTAGAAAAGGAGGGGAATATTATAAAAATGAAAGGAAAAATAATTTACGGGCGATCTGAGGTCGGGAAGGGGATGGGGGTGAGGTTTTAAGGGTAAAAAACGGTTTTTCTCGATTTTCGGCATAACTAAAAGTCCTATCGAAAAAAGTCAAATGGCAAAGTTGTAGGCAATAAAAAGATCTAAAACATTTGTATTTACACTTTTTTCACATAACCTCAAATTTTATGTGAAAAATTCAAAAAACCAAGTTTTTGGTTTTTTATTTTTATCTTTTACAAAAATGTTTTTGTTTTAACGAAATTTGGTGAAAACTTACCTTTTTATGTCCCAAATACTTTGTAATTTATTTGATTAAAAATATTTATTTTTTCACCTTATTTTGAATTAATATTAAAAAAGGACCCTAATTTTCAATCGAAAATTCACCCGTCAAAATATCAGCTTTTTTCAAAAAGTTGGTATGTTTTCTGTTCGTTGAAATCTCTACTTTTCGATGGTGAAAAAAATATATGTTACTATAGTAAATCATCTGAGAAAATGCAAAAAACAAAAAACCTTTTTTATTTCATACACTTGCTTATCATCTGCCTTATTGCAGATGATACAAACAGATTCATCCATACTGATAATCTGAAGACAAAATCGAATTAATAACGCCTACACTATTTTATCGTGAGTATACCCCCATGAAAAAATATATATTAAAGAAATAAATGTCAAAATGTATAACAAATCTTTATATATATAATTCTTCTGTGAGTGTGTATGTCACTGAACTTCTCTCAAACGACTGGACCGATTTTGATGAAATTTTTTGTGTGTGTTCAAGGGGATCTGGGAATGGTTTAGATTCACAATTTGAATAATAATTTTCATCAAAAATATTATAAAAAAAAGTTTGAAATTTTCAAATTAAAGACGTGTAGACAGGACAACGTCTGTCGGGTCCGCTAGTATATTATAAATATATTAAAAATCTATAATAAAATATATGAAATATACATGAAAATCGGCCAAAAGTTAGTTATTAAAAATATATTTACTATACATATTTTTTATATACATATTTATACATAAAAATATGTATAGTATAGATTTTTAATATATTTATAATATATTTTTTATACATTTTGACATTTATTTCTTTAATATATTTTTTTTCATGGGGGTATACTCACGATAAAATAGTGAAGGCATTATTAATTCGATTTTATATTTTCAGATTATCAGTATGGATGAATCTGTTTGTATCATCTGCAATAAGGCAGATGATAAGCAAGTGTGTGAAATAAAAAAGGTTTTTTGTTTTTTGCATTTTCTCAGAAGATTTACTATAGTAACATATATATTTTTTTTCACCATCGGAAAGTAGAGATTTCAACGAACAAAAAACATACCAACTTTTTGAAAAAAGCTGATATTTTGACGGGTGAATTTTCGATTGAAAATTAGGGTGCTTTTTCGATATTAATTCAAAATAAGGTGAAAAAATAAATATTTTTAATCAAATAAATTACAAAGTATTTGGGACATAAAAAGGTAAGTTTTCACCAAATTTCGTTAAAACAAAAACATTTTTGTAAAAGATAAAAATAAAAAACCAAAAACTTGGTTTTTTGAATTTTTCACATAAAATTTGAGGTTATGTGAAAAAAGTGTAAATACAAATGTTTTAGATCTTTTTATTGCCTACAACTTTGCCATTTGACTTTTTTCGATAGGACTTTTAGTTATGCCGAAAATCGAGAAAAACCGTTTTTTACCCTTAAAACCTCACCCCCATCCCCTTCCCGACCTCAGATCGCCCGTAAATTATTTTTCCTTTCATTTTTATAATATTCCCCTCCTTTTCTAATGAGTTTCATCCTACTATTATTTTTTTTGGTTTTAAAAATTATATATCGACCCTGGTCTATAGTAATTACAGGCATATATTAATCATAGGCAGTGCTAGCCCAGTGATAACGCGCTAGCTTGTGAAACCCAGTGAAACGGGTTCAAATCGGTCTCGCACCTCTGATATTTTCATGTGCGAATCTTTTCTAACATGATTACCACTTGCCTTTACGGTGAAGGAAAACATCGTGAGGAAACCTGCATGTCTGAGAGAACCTAGCAAGTTTTCGAAAGATATGTGAAATTCGCCAACCCGCACTTGGGCAGCGTTGTGGACTATGGCCTGATCCCCCCCGTGCCCAGCAGTGGGACGTTAAAAAAAAGGCTAAACACATACTTACAATAGTAATTATCTGTCGAGAGGTAAAATACATAACATAAGTATTTAATGATATCTTGCACACTGCAGAAGTTCCAAAACAAAGGGGAGAATCGCACATTACCCTCTATTACAAAAAGGGACAATTAGACGACATAAATAACCACAGGCCCCATATGTTTAATATCTACATGGTGTTCGCAAAAACAATACTGAATAGGCTAACACAATGTCTTAGCAATCTTCACTGTAACGAACCACCGAACATACAGAGATTATGAAGAACATACTGTTAAACCATTATACATGGCATCGATTGACTATTCTAAAGCATTCGATAGCTTAATCTATTATCACATATTGTGGTCAAGCCTAAGGCAATAAGGAATAAATGAGACCTACATAATTTGGTTTTAAATATTAGTATATTCTTACATTGCAGTTTTTGTATTTTTTCTAAGGACTGAGACATTTTCCTGCGGTTAAAAATATCCTATATGTTGACCCGGAGAACCACCTATCGGCATACGAAATTTCATCAAAATCCCTCCAGTAGTTTTTCTGTGATGCAGTAACAGACAGACAAAAATTCTAAAAACTGTAGATTCGGCCTCTGTATCGATAATAATGTCTATTTCAATAAGATTTACAAAAAAACATTTAATGTACAGATTCGGCTTAGTTACAATCTATACATATAATATAATTGTAGAAAATATCTCATCTCTGAGAAATCAATACTAAACGTTAAAACGTAAGTAGGGACCAACCCGAGCGGAGCAAGGGCGAGTAGTCGCTAGTTATGAAATAAAAAACTACTGCAGTATATCACATGCTTATACAGAAGACAACCACTTTCCTGTAATTTGATCTGCATGACAAAAGATAACTAACTTGATATTGTGATTCTTTACTCAAGTCAAAACAAGAAACATTCTTTTAAGGGTATACAATAGTTATCATTTTAGAAAGTACTTAACGTTTATGTAAAAGTAGTTAAATAAATCTTTTTTTATCATTCAAGAGATAAATTGTGCATTTACACACAAAAATTCTGTATTATTGTTGTGGCATAGAAAGGCTTTAACTAAAAAAAAAAACATTTTTTACCTAACTGTATACATATTATAGTTGTACTAGCTGTGAGTCCTACTACGTGTTTTTGTCTCCGACTGCATAATACTTAATTTTTGCAAATTATTCTTCTTATTGGTAAATGTGTGATATATTAAATTATTGCTCTTATTTATTACTAGTGACTCACTCTCGCTTCGCTCAGATTCATTTCTAGGTACATTTTGATGCTTAGTATGGAATAGTTTTTTTTCGTGATTTTTTGCAAGGTTTAATAGTTATTCGGCTATGTAGACATATTAAGTAAAACAAAGATCATAAAATCGGTCCAGCAGGACTCGTGTTATAAATGTTGTAACAAACCTGACTTTTTTTTTGAATATATAGATAGCAATAAAAAATGAAGATCCTTATTTGATTAATATATTAAACATGATATTTTCCCTCCCATTATTATAAAACAATGCAAATAATATAATAAAAATAAATAATTAAAATAGGTACATTAAATAGAAAAAACATACTTGTATATCATGTTTATGTGACAATTCCTTTACCATCTACACATATAATAAAAGTCTAATTGAATCGAATCTGTACATTAAATATTTTTTTGGAAAATCTTATTGAAATAGTCATTATCTATACTAATATTAAGAAGAGGTAAAATTTGTGAATTGTGAGTTTGTGAAGTTGTAGGGGGTTAATCTCTGGATCTACTGAACCGATTTAGATGAAATTTGGTAAGAAGATATATTGAGACCCGGGAAAGGACATAGGATACTTTTTATCCCAGAAATCACTCGAGGGGGTGAAAATGGAGATGAAAGTATGTATTGGGAAGCAGAAGCGAAGGTGAGTCGCTAGTCCTATTATAATTTAGCAAATTTAAAACTTCATTTTTTAAGGCTTTATTTCAAGTCGAATTAAGTTAAAAAAATTTTGTGGGTAATAAAAACCTTGAATACATAATTGATTGATTCATGTAAACGTCTTAAATAGTCCGTGATCCCTGGTCTATTTTTACAATTGATTAGTATCAAGGCTAATTTTCCGTGAGAAGCTTCATTTTGATGAGATGCCCAACTTTTTCTCTTACAAAGATTATCGATTGTGTTAGCTAACAGGGGTAGCAGGGATAAAATATGTCGATTTGACGATTCTCAAAAACTTATTACTATATATCTTTCTTGGCTTCTTAAAAAAGCGAGACAATTCCTTTACGACCACAGAGATGGAGACGCTGGAACTGTTAAGAGCAACCCATTTCCCAGTATCGTACCCTGTCTCCAGCAGTGAATCAAACCCAAAGGAAAACTACATCCACAGGGCAAATAGTTGCGACTGGAAGATGGCCAACACCATATTTAGGCCTAACCAGATTAGATGAGCTTTGAAAAAACTCAAAACCATTTAAATCGGCAGGGGAAGACGGAATTTTTCCAGCCCTACTTCAACAGGGCATGAAACTCCTTATCCCGCATCTGGTAAAACTATTTAGAGCAAGCTTTGCTTGGGGCATCATACCAGAACAATGGACTAAAGTCAAGGTTATCTTTATACCGAAGATCGGTAAAAACGACTACTCTCAGCCCAAATCCTTTAGACCTATTAGTCTTACTTATTTCCTACTAAAAACAATGGAAAAAGTAATCGATCAGCACATTAGAACAAGGTATCTTGTGGCTAGACCACTCTCCTGCAATCAACATGCTTACCAAAAGGGTAAATCAACAGAATCTGCCTTAGTAGCTCTGATCGACAAGGCAGAAAGGTCCCTAGAGGATAAGCAGACCGCTCTATGTGCGTTTCTGGACATTGAGGGGGCCTTTGACAACACACCTACGGCAACCATCCTGAAAGGATTAAATGCAAAAGGTGTTGATGTCACAACCACCAGATGGGTGGAATATATGCTCTCCAACCGGTGTGCGAAAGTTACGCTAAACGAACACTCGCACAACTTTTACACTACCAGAGGCTGTCCGCAAGGAGGAGTACTTTCACCCCTATTATGGACACTAGCTGTAGACCTACTACTTGTAATCATGGCTGATCTCGACTTCGATACACAAGGCTATGCAGATGACCTTGTTGTAGTAGTAAGAGGTCCTTGCCTTAACACAATTTCCATTAGGTTACAAGGGGCTCTCAACACCATCACAAGATGGTGTAGAGAAAATGAATTATCAATAAACCCTGATAAAACAGTTATTGTACCATTCACCAGGAAAAGGAAGCTTGAAAGGCTGACTGAACTCAGACTCAATGGCAAAACCCTTAACCTATCAAATGAGGTAAAGTACCTTGGAGTCACTATTGATCAAAAGTTGACCTGGAACTCTCTCCTCAACAACATTATAAAAAAAGCCAAAATGACCTTTTGGATATGTTGTCGAATGGCTGGAGCAAAGTGGGGTCTCAAACCCAAAATGGCTCTCTGGATGTACACCGCTGTGGTAAGGCCGATCATAACATACGCCTCAGTCGTATGGTGTAACAAAACCAAACAAAAGACAACTATAAGTAAACTAGACAGTGTGCAACGGATGGCATGTCTAATTATCACGGGAGCCTTTCATTCGGCACCAGGAGACGCTCTAAATGCTTTGTTGGACATAGCTCCGCTATATCTCCACGTGCAAAAAGAAGCTAAATCCTGCCTCTACAGGCTCTGTACACAATCGAATGTAAGGTTGCAATCGCAATATATGAACAAACTCAAAGAGTTGACATTCGAACATAAAACTCTAAAAATGCCAGTGGATGGCATGAGCACAGAGTTTAACTTCACAAAACAGTACCAAATAGATTTTCCCAACCGGGACATGTGGCTAAAAGACCAAGAGTCTCACAAAAAGGGCAGTCATGTTTGGTTTACAGACGGATCCAAGAAAGGATCTGATGTTGGGTGCGGTATCTATGGCCTAAAGCCTAGATTTAACATGAGTATCAATCTGGGCAAAGAGGCCACCATCTTTCAAGCAGAGGTCTTCGCCATTAACAAATGTGCTGAAGTCATCCTGGAAAGAAAGCTTAAGAACCAAAATATCTACATCAACTCAGATAGCCAAGCAGCACTTTTGGCTATAGATTCTCTTGAGACCAACTCTAAGTTGGTCAAAGACTGTATGAATAATCTGAATGTCCTGGGCACATCCAACAGAGTTATCCTCAGATGGGTCCCGGGTCACTCAGGTATAGACGGGAATGAAAAGACCGATGCCTTGGCAAGAAGGGGCGCTGAAACCCCAGAATTTGGCCCCGAGCCATTTTGTGGTATTGCCAAACAACATGCCTATTCAATTCTCAAAAACCACTGCAATCTCAAAGCACTTCAAGAGTGGCAATCCACTTCTGGAGAAACACACTCTAAAGCGCTAATTAAGGGATATCGCAAAACCTTTACAAAAGAGTTGCTTCAACTCAACAAGTATAAAACCAGTGCGGTAACCAGAATACTTACTGGACACTGCAAACTCAATAAACATATGTTTACCCTCGGCCTCAGTCAAACCGCAATGTGCAGACTATGCCATGAGACAGAGGAAACTGCTATGCACATCCTCTGCTCGTGCGGTCCACTCATGCACCGCAGAAGTATCTATCTAGGGCAGCATATTATGCAACCAGAAGAGATACAGATGCTCCCCGCTCAGAAAATCGGAAGTTCCTGGAGTCAACAGGACTAAGCGGAGAACTTTGAACTCATTATAAAGGGAGCTACAATGGACCAAAACTGGTCGACGTAGCTAGGGCCGACCTCGGCACCACACCCAACATAAATAATAATATTACTAACTTTTGGGTGGTGTTGGGTTTTTTATTTTATCTTAAGATAATTTTATTCCAAAAAATATTTGTCCTACAAAATGTATGATTTAATCAAAGAGTTCCCTCCTTCCAACATGTATCGATAACGAGGTCACGTACCACGCAATTTGTAGGACAACGTGGCAGTTAAATTATGTAAATATTAACTAAGCCACAGTAAGAAAATCAGCTATTTAGTAATCATTTTTTATGAACTCGTTATAAAAAAAACATTTAATTTTTTATAGTTTAGTTTTTGAAAGAAGAGCAATATTTCCTAGAAAACAACACATTCAATACATATAAATATGATTATAGTACACATATGTACACTAAGAAACAATATAGTTATCATAGTCAAGTATGAAAACATTAAATATCTTTAGCACTGGTAGATTTTTATTAAATATATACTTAGCAGTAAAAAAACTCAATCCTGAATAAAAAATTATATAATACACTATACATACCTTTGAAAAAAGTGTATTTAAACAATGTACTTTCTGCCTCTCTTGTACAAATGCATAATATTGTGTGACCCCTTTCAAAGTGAGCTCCTCCATGAGATTAATCTCATATGGTTCTCTTAAATGTTTTTCCATGAACTGTTTTACACTCAGTGGGAATGTGGCTGAGAATAACAATATTTGACGTTCTTTTGGAAGTCTGAAAATAGTAAATATTTTGATATGACCCTCATATAAGTAAACATTTAATGGAATGTCATATATTTTTCATATTTCATCTATAATTATTAATATGAGTGTGATATAATCTGTAAATTTAATAAATAAGGAATTATTAGCCTTTCTATAAAGTCTACTAAAACTAACCGTGAAATAACTGTATCCAGCATCCCTTTGAAGTCTTGAGATAGAAGCTTATCTGCCTCATCCAGTACCAGCATCCTACACTGCTCCATCTTTGCTACTTGTTTATCCATGAGATCAATCATACGCCCCGGTGTGGCTATTATTACCTGAACTATAACAATTTAGATAATTAATATTGCTACTGTAACAATTCATATTCAAATAAAAATTAGAATACACATAACATATAATGATAACACCATGCAAATAAGGTTTTGCATAAAATTCATACACATTCTTACCATTCTGATAAATACGCATTATATCATCTCTCAGGTTTGTTCCACCTGTGGTAACCATAACACGTATGTCTGTGTGCTTTGCCAGCTCAATACATATTTGTGATGTTTGTAAAGCTAGCTCTCTGGTAGGTACCACTATTAAAGCTTGAATAGCATCTTTTTTTGGATCAACCTATGAAATAACAATTTTTTGTAACACAAATCTCAATATTAGCAATTTTTATTATAGAAATGCATATATTCAGAACTGTTTTTTCTCACTTATAAACAAGTGAAGGGGAATCCAAAAGTATCATCATTAAAAATATTCTAAACTTGCATATGCAATTTATGTATTTAAATGAAAAATTAATAGAACATATTGAATAAATTAAATTTACATAAAATATAAATATTCATTTAGAAAATTAGTGCATAGCAGGTAATGCTAGTAAGAATATCAAATGTCATATACATACTTGTTCTAAGACTGGAATACAATAGGCGCCTGTTTTGCCAGTACCATTCTTGGCTCTTGCTAGAACATCCTTACCACTAAGTGCAATGGGAATTGAAGCCTCTTGAATAGGGGATGGCTTCTCCCATCCCTTTTCAAAAATTCCCATAAGTATTTCTCTTTTAAGACAAAACTCTTCAAACTCATTTCCTCTTGTGTCAGTCACATCCTATTATATTCATTTCAACTAGTTATTAACACTTATAGACATAAAATAAAAAATCGAAGGTATTTGAAAAACTTACACTGGTTTTGATTCGTCTGTCTTTGGGGGGTAGTTTTAATTTTGCTTTCCACCCTATATCTTCCACAGTTTTATCGACATCTCTGTAATTAGGAAAAATGTAAGTTGAAGAGAAAGTATGCATTTTTAAAATAAAGAATTGATAAATGATATCCTTACCCTTTCTGACTGCTCATGTTTCCGACGTGATTACTGGTGCTAATTCTATTTTCGGTCATCATTTTGCCAAATATTGCCCTCAAGGGGTGACTAAACTTAGAAACTTATGAAGTCTTTATTTAAGTCCAACACTAAACAAATTTCACGATAAGTCACTTTTAGATACATAAGCTACTTCAGAAGTATTCACATTCACCAACTTAGTCCGGAAATATCTGAAATAAAACAGCAAATTATTGAATCAATCTTCGATAAGACCCACAGAAAAGACATTATGAGACGCGTCAACAAGCAATGTATACCTATCAACATATACACATACACTTGATAAACGGCAAAGATATACGTAAAACAAAATTATTGGTATATAAATTGTAACTAAAGTAACGTTAGTAAAGAAAAGCCTAAGTATATCAGTTCCTAGGAGTACTTATACAAAATTAACAATTGATGAAGAAGATTAGCAGCGATTAAATTACAAAACGAACTTCAATTTTTAATATGGCCGCCCTAAAGTGAATATCATAAAAACAATTTAAGTAATAACGTTATTTATTCAGAATAGGAATTATAATCTATATATTGGAAGTTTAAATAAGATAATAGGAGTACAAAAATATTTAAATAAACAAGAATCACCTTGATAAAACTTTAAAAAAGACGACGACACTCGATACTCGACGACGACATCACAAAGTAAGCAAGCAATTGTGTTGCCAAATCAAAACAAATTACAAAACAAATTATCATAGACATCTACATACTTTTATTAATTTCATAATCAAAATTATTTGAAACACAGAATTCGAACATGGGAATTATAAATGTATATTATTAAAATAGAACAAAACGAAGATTTGATAACATCAAACGAATATCTGTTTAAATACTAAAGTAGTGATTCGGTGTCCAAGTCCTAAAGACATTCTTCAAAACGTTAAATCATATGAATATTTAAAAAAAAAATTGCGTCTTATTCTTCTTTCATATTTTTTTCGTCTTCTTTCATAAATAGCTGCCATAATTCCTTAAAAAAAGAAACATTAAAAATATTTAATTTTAAATACACACAATACAATAATTTAATATTGATGAATATCTAAAATAAAATATAAGAACCATTATATTTTCTATTGAGACCAATGGGATTCTGTTTATTTTTAAGAGAAAAAAATATATTGAAAACCTGAAGTCGTATGATTTTAAAATAGTAGCAGGTATATAAGAAATAGAAATTCGTAAGATGCCCCCGATGCACGAGCTAGCCCCGAGAAATGGGGGGACGCAAAGCGTTGAAAAATAGTTTGCTTCAATTTTCGGTTTACTGTGACGTTCGATCGAAAAATGTTTTCTACAAAAGTTGTAGGTCTAGTAAAAATATACAACTTTTATAAATAACACTTTTTATAAAACCTCACAGTTTTTGCAATATTTGCAAATAACTCAGTTTCTAACTTTTTCTTGATTTTTTATTTCTAATTTCCAAATTAATCTTTTGATTTTCATAAAACTAAGGGAATATAATCTTCAAAATACATTTAATAAATTTAAAAAAAATAATCGAAATGTTTTCCCAGAAAAGTATGTTTTATAGTCTCGAGATATAGCTGGATTTATTATTCATATTTATTATTAAAAAAAGCAAAGGTATTCCAAGCTTGTCAAAACTGAATACATTACATCATACATGAATACTTTTAACGGAAAAAAATGCGTTCTCAATTTAGCGCGATTTTTCTTCGTATAATTTTGTACACGAGACGAATAGTCAGTCTGATTTTATAATTAAATTTTTATACATCAAAAATACTCCCCAAAATGTCCCCTTTCGATTTACAAAATTAAATCGTAATTGATCGTGATCTACTTAATATTTATGGTATTAATTATAGAAGTGTGCCTATAGGCACCACCTCCCCCGCTGCATTTTTATCACTTATTATACGACGAAATTAGTTTAGAAGAACTTTAGAAGTTTTATTAAGTATATAATAAAATAAAAATTTAATGTTATTCTGACAAAATTAAAAACAAACGCATCAAAAATTGTTTAAATTTCAACTGAAGCGCGCTTGATTCGACATTATGTTTGTGTTATTTAAAATATTTAAACTAGTGAATTTGTGCTGTAAATGTATATTTATTGTTAGATTTTTTTGCGACTATCGAGATACTAATAAGTGTATAATCACGTTATAAAATTAGTTTTTTTATCCAACGAATTTTGATGTATAAAATTCGTAAAATAAGTCGCCATTATAAAACATAAATTTGGACTTTTATTCTCTGCTTTCGTGCCTCATGAAGGTAAATCACTAAAGAAAAACGAATATAATTTCATATTTTCAATTGTTTGTAGCATATTTCAATAGTTTTACTATAAAAATTATGTTTTGTCTGTCAAATTTGACATTTTGAACTCTTATCAAAGACCAGTCAGACATTGACACATGTCGATATGTGCTATCGATAATATCGATATTTTAATATAAATATATGGTGAAAAAGTAAGATTGTTTTTTTACTTTTTGTTAGACACAGTGGAGAATAAAATGCAAAAAAATACTCATATGTTTTAAAAGATATGGTAGGTATATGTAAGAGCCTAAATACAAAGTCAAACATATTATACGACACTATAATAGGAATACAAAGACGCTCGAATCTATATGAATAAAAATGAATGTCAAAATGTTGCTAAGCTCAAAACTCTATAACGGCTGTACTATTTAGCCTAATTATTTTTTTCAAATATTCATCGGGGAAGGTTCTTATGAACAGAAAAATTAGAAAAAAATCTCGGAAAAACGTAAAAATCACATTTTTCTTTTTCCTTAATTAGTATTAAGGAATTTCATTACAATAATTAACGCAACCTTACAATTAATGTAAACTATTTGAATGCATTTGTATATTTGAAACTCTATATTTCTACGATATACAATTTGACGTTGAATTTATTTGTTTGTTTGTCCTCCTTTCACGTCAAAATAAAATGCCAGATTGTCGTGGTTTTTGAGTCAAGATAGTTAGAGGGCTGGAGAGTGAAATAGGCTACTTTTTACCATGGGAGATTATCTCGTTTCTACGGGAAAACAAGTTATATCTATTCCTAGCTGGAGCGAAGCGAGGGTGAGTCGCTAGTCTGAAATAAAATAAGCGTTCCTTGACAGTCTTGTCGGATTAATAGTAGTGTAAAAAGCTATTGAAGTAGTGTATATTATGAATTTGTTCTGCTAAGAAATACCCAGTAATAATAGTTTACAAAAGTGTGTAACATTTGAGAGGCTTCAAATATTGTACTTATAGTGTTTTTCACATTATTCAACACAAGAGGAAACAAAACTATAAGAGCTATATTATTTTAAAAATAAAAAGATAGGGGCACATAAAACTACATGAACCTAATGAAAAATAACACCATATAAATCTTTAAATTGAGATATGTATTTGTCTTTTTATATACTTTTAACGATAATTATTATTTGGAGAATATATGTGAGGGGTTTTTGTGTTATGGTATCTATTTAGCTATGGGCATCCGTTACATACAAAAATTGTCTCTTATTTGTCATAGAAATACAATAAAATACAAATCAAGTTATACTACTCCTGAAAAGAGTATTGTAGATGAATAAACGATATATAAAGTTACTTTTTTTTCGTAATACATATATTGCATAATGTATTAAAATACATAAATACGAGGTCGCGTACAATATTCACTTCATTCCTTGAAACGTTTACAGAATTTTCTTCCGTTTCAAACTAAAATTACCCTGGCTCAATCACTGCTAATCCCTCTACTCGAATATGCCGACGTTTGCTATCTAGATGCAACCGAGGAGCTACTCGAAAAGCTAGATCGCCTTCAGAATTTGTGCATCCGTTTTATATATGGATTGCACAAATTTGATCATATAAGTATTTTCCAACGGCAACTGAAGTGGCTCCCTATTCGTTTTCGCCGAAACGTTCGTGTATTATGTGTGCTTTACAATATTTTGAAGACTTCTACACCTATTTATTTAAGTGAATGCTTCACATTAGTGTCCCCTAGATGCAGGCCAGTGCGTTCTTGTGTCAATTGGCCCAAATTAGTGGTTTCTATTCTATTCTATAAAAAATCTTTTTCTGTTACGGCAGCAAGATTTTGGTGTGGTGTGATTCACTGCCTGATTATATTTTCAAAGATAATCCCTCATTCACTACATTTAAGTTTAGAATTAAACAGTAATTTATCAAATCAGAGATAAATTATTGTAGATTAGTATGTATGTATATGTAAGTATTTTAATATTAAGTCAATTCCATTTAATGCTGTACTGTGCCTACACCGCACTATATTAAGTTATTTTCTCACTTCTGAAGGGTTCCTGGAAGAAATCTCTTAAAGAGATAAGTTATCCTTTGTCAACATTTTATTATTTTATTTTGTATAACATATATTTTATGGTACATAAATAAATAAATAAAAAAAAAAATATTTTTTATGCTACAAGAGCTAGCTAGCTTGCGTGACTAAACTTGAAATCTTGCATTTATTAGATTTTTTATAATAATAATTTTATTCACGTCATATTTAAAAAAAAAACTCATTAAATAAAGTGCTTATTTAATGAGTTTGAATCTAATTTGTCCAAAATATTACATTATTTTATTGCACCTATTTAGATTTTTTAAATACTTAATTTTTTATTGTTATAAACGAATATAAAAATTGTTGTTGTGTTTATGTGTGTTTAGCCGTTCACAAAAATAATCGAACACATTTACTTTGCTTGAGTACATCACTACGCATCTAAATATTATTAGTATATTATTTTAGCCAATTTACATGTTTAAATGTTTAGTTTTTTGAATGAAAAGTGTTAAGTTTTCATATATATGATAATGCTTAGCTTGTTCTTTTATAATTGAAGCTAAATTTATATAAGAAATATTAATTACAATGCAACACGAGCGTCTGTAAAAAATAACCTCAATTTTTCTCTTATAAGAAATCCATCAAAATTTTAATTACAGTGGCTTATTTTCAAGGTTTATTGGTGCATGTTTTTAAAGTAAGGACTATTCTGTATTTTAATATTATTTTTGTTAAGAATCCACACATAACTCGGATGTTTGTTTTGAAAATTGCGCGATGAGCTGCGCAAATACAACGAACGAGCCGCGAGTGCTATAAAGTTTTGAATTTGATTGTAACTAACAACTAATATAAATAAATCAAAGAATGGTTTTGTGCGATTACATGTATATTCATAAAATAGTGTTTCAAATTTAGTGTAAATGTAGACCGCGGTATTGTCAGTAATCAATATAATACAACATCTAGTAAATATTCAGCTAACACTCATATATTGTTAGCTTATTTATAATTCTTCAGTAGTTAAAAGTGTATTTTACATATTGTCATAAATGCTCAGATTATTTAAAAACCTAATTATAATTACAATTGCAAAAACATTTTAAATCGGTGTTATATAATTTCAATTACAAGTGTTTTTTTTATCTAATGGTTGTATCGGGGAAAAATGACGCGCGGGCTCGGTGTTTAACAGATGTTGCTTGTCAAAAAACGCGGGGTTCTAGTGTTTAATAGATAAAGGAAGGCTTAGGCACAAAATCAATTTATTCGTAATCAAAGCCAGGGCAACATGCCAAATTGTCCATGGTCACATAATTTATACTCGTGAATCGTGACTGTTCAGTGTACATATTGGATTTTGATTTCAGGGGGCAACTCTTTAGAATTTATGCTCTATAAAACTGTAATAGTCTATGTCCTGTGACCTGTGGGCTTGACAACTGACTTTCTGTCTCTGACATTTGTAATTAAATAATAATTTAAGTTAATGATATACAATTGTGTTTGTGCCCAAACTCCTAGAAGCCACAAAAATAAAGGATTGTAATTAAGTTAATAAATTTTCCGTTAACTATTTTTAAAATTAGAAACAATAAGTTTTGCTAATTTGCCACAAAATGAACAATAGTTTTTAATGCTTATCTTGGAGTAATATTTTGTCAACAAGTTAAAAATATATTTGGAAACTAACAAATAAGTACAAAAATAAAAATATGTAAGTTACAAAAACATTATGGACATGACGGTAATTAAATCACATTTTATCAGTTATTTATTTACTATTTTTATATTTCCCTAGGGCTACTTATTGGAAATCTCAAGAACGTAAATTTTGTGAATTTTGCAAATGCTGGTTTGCTGATAATAAAGTTGTAAGTATAATTTAAAACTCTAAAATATTATTGTTATTATATTACTTAATATATCTATTTAAATTACAGTCAATTTCGTTTCATGAAAATGGCAAACGTCATAAAGAAAATGTTAAAAAACACATATCACAACTCAGTAAGAGAAGTGCAAAAGAATTTAAGCAAAAGGAAAAGATGGATGATGAAATCAAGAAAATGGAGGCTGCTGGAATGAGTGCTTATTTGAAAGATGTTCAAAATAATGCTGACCTCACTTCACAAGTAATTTTAATATTTGCTATTTTTTATTAACTTACTACTAATTATTTTAATTAAAGCATTTTTGACAACTAGTTACCACTTGTGGCTTTCTGTGTGTAGACATGTATTTCTATTGAGTGTAATAATCACATAAATTAAATCCTGATCGAGCGATGAATCAGCCAAAAAAAAGCTACTTGATAGTCATACTCATAAACCTCTTAGTGTTATGAATCTGGAGATACCATAAGCATTTTAATTGTAACTACGTCAAAACTATTTGGAATTTTGATGTAGTAGTAAGACAAAACTTCAAATATCTTGAAATCAATTTTGACGATTTTAAGACCTTCTTTCTTATGACGGCAGATTAGCTGTAACTATTTTATATTAATTTATATAGATAAGATTATAAAACTCAATTTTATTATAGAGTATTAATGAAATGTTAGGGCAAGATGGCAAGAGTTGCAAAGATATTGTTATAGCAAGCAGTATAAGTACTAAGGATAAAGTAGCCTGGAAAGAAATAAAAAATGATGATGGAAGTTCCTATTTCTGGAATATTCAGACTAATGGTGGGTACAATTTCTATTTTATAATTTAAAAAAAACATTAACTTATATATGTATATAACTTATACATTATGTTCTGCTAGACTTTTTATAAAATAGATTTATTCATAGTTTACTATAGAACTATCATTTAAATTTTCAGAGACAACATGGGATCCCCCAGATAATTATGTCTCATTAGCGGAACAAGAAAAGAACAAAATTAATGAAAAAGAAGAGCAGAAAAAGGAAAAAAAACTAAAGTAATTATTCCTTGTCAGATTTTCTTAATTATAAATATATCTTTAGTACTCAAAATTAGTGTATCATGAAAAAAATAACTGGTTCTTAAAATAAAAGAAATCCTCAAAAGTAGTTTTGTTATAATACTTTCTTAGATTTATGCGAATATTTGACATTTTAAATAAACTATTTTTTCGGATTATTTCGCAGATTTATTTAGATTTTTGGTTCCTTACGTTTTGAATGCTTTACAGCAATCATGGTCACGGGTGAGACTAAGGTTTTAAGAGGTCTCAAAGGTATTATATTGACTTATTACAGACAGTGCCTACCCACAATTTTACGAAAATGATTTCAATAATTCAAAATGGCACCAAAGTACCTTGAAGACGTCTAAAACCTTAGACCCTCCTGGGACCATGATTGCTATAAAGCATTCAAAACGTCGGAAATCAAAAAATCAAAATAAATCCGTGAAATAATCCAAAAATATAGTTTTATTTAAAATAATTTTGTTATATTATTTTTAGGAAGCAAAAACAAAAAGAGGCCAAAATGGAGGCAAAGGCTCATCTAGCAAGGGAAAGCATGAGAGAGTTAGCAGTAGATAAAATCAAGTCACCACCAAAAATTAATGTGCCTTTTGGACCTGAGCCTTGTAGTAAACCTTATGGGTCTTGGAAGCCAGTTGAAAAAGAGTAAGTTTTGTATAGTACATATTTATTCTAAAGAATTCCCTTATCACATGTTATATGCCGCACCCTTGGCAAATGGCTAGACAGATAAAAGTATTATATATCGACCATTGGAACACTTTTTATTATTTACTAATAGCACCCCATGCGATAACATAAGTACCAGGTGATTGTAAGTGTTAAATTCGTGTGCACTATGTGCAGGATTTTCTATGATGAGCTTCAACATGAACAATATATTAAGTTGCTTGATGTTTATGATACGCTAGTACTTGTGACAACTTTCATAACCTACTTTATGAGTCAAGGGCAGACAGCAAAAGGTACTACATTGCTACCAGATGTCTGATGATACCTCTCGACTTTTTTAATAATAGCTTTTTGAGCTGACATAACACAAATTGTAATACTTATAAAATACCTTGAATCTTTTAAACAGGATGGAACTAATTGATGGGACACAGAAGTAAAGTACCCTATATATTGAAGATTTACTTTACTTCCATGACCCATCGATTTGTTCCACCCTGTATACATATATAATTTTTCTTTTGTATGTAACATAAATGTAATATATATATGATACATAAACAACTTTTATATATATATATATAGATAAAAAGTTTTGATAATTTATTTTAGTACTTTTTTGGTCATCTTGTTGTGTGACATAGGCTTCTTCCATTCTCGTCTATCTTATAATATCTCTGCGTAGCGCATCCTTGATGTTCCCGCCTTTGCTCTAATGTCAACTTCCCATCTCTACACTTTGGTTTTCCTCTTATTTGCAGTTCATTTGCACACCATTCTACTATGTCTTTAATCTTTTATTCTTTAATATAAGAATTTCTACTTTTTTTTCCTGGTTAAATGTCCTATAAGATGTCATTTTTATTAGTGATGAAACGATTACGATTAATCGTATTGTCGATTATCATTGCGATTATTTATGACTTATATTTGCAAAGAAATTAACAAACTTTTTAAATGCACATAATGTAACTCTTGTTCATGTGTGTGTTCAGTATTGAAAAGAAGCAAATCAAATCATCGTACGTAGCATCAAAGAGGTTATTTTCCACTGCTGGATTGATTCAAATTTCAAACTGGAAAAAAAAACAGATTGACGCCCGACAAACTTAAAATGTTATGTTTTCTAAACGAAAATTTAAAATTCCTTAATTTTGATTATTAATTCCTCAGCAAATAATTTTTAATTTAGTTTATGGTATGGTATGTATTAACAGAATTAATCGTAATCGTGGATTATAAAGCGCAAACATCGTAATCGCTAAGTGGTAATCGTTTCGTCACTTAACTTTTATTGCTTCACTTCACAGAAGTTTCTAAATTCTTTTGTTTTTTTTCCTTTTTTGCTTATTGTATTAACTATTACTTTGTATAAAACTCCAATTCAAAATATAACTATATATGTAGTATTAACTAATAAGTGTTGTTTAAATTTATATTAGGTACTTCATTTTAAAATCACAAAAATTTTACAATATAGGTAGATATTTTTATTATTTTCAGACCAGAAAAAGCAATTGATTTACAATTACCAAAATGTTATAAAGAAGTAATACCTCCTCCAGTTATTGTGGAACCAGAGATTACGGAGTTTAAGGAGCGGCGTGTTGAATCACTAGGTGAAGGGCCCGTCGAGTTCAAAAAGCGAAAACTAAATCATTCAAAACGAAATATACGACAAAAAGTAGATGATGATTAATAAAAAAGTTTATTACATTCATTTGTTGTTTATTTTATTTGTTACTTCATTCATTTTATTTGATTTCCTAAAGATTATTTAAAAAATATTAATTTATAAAATTTTAATGGAAAAAGCGCTTAAATGGAAAACATTGTGCAAGGTACAAATGACAATACCATATTAGTAATAATGTATGCCTTATTAGACGATAGATTGCGTTTACGGCAAACCTGGTAAACTATTTTATCTATACTCTATACAGATAAATAAAATTGAATTGTCTGTTTGTAATGTCAAAATAACAGCTTTTAACTTAATGCATATGGAATCATATACGGTATTTGTAGGAAAAACACAATTTTTAAAAAATTTGTCTGTTCCGGCTAATCTCCGAAACGGATGGGCCGATTTTGACGGGACTTTTACTGGCAGGTAGATGATGTTGTAAGGGGTAACTTTATAGGCTACTTTTATTTCTTCAGTAAAACAATTAGGGTTCCGCTCAAAAAAATTAAAATGTACCTAGGGACGAACCCGAGCGAAGCGAGGGGGAGTCGCTAGTTTTATAATAATCTGTGCACAAAATGTAGCAAAATGCACAAACATTAAATATAGCAGACCGTGACTATAACCACAGTATACTAAATACTAAACCGTACAATCGTATTAAAGTCGTTTTGCAGAACATCTCTGCGGGATGAGACGCGGGCGACGAAGTCGTTCACCTACCTGTCATTTACCTATAATTCTTATACGTCGGCAGGTATTTAGTATAGATATCCCAGGGGAACCGTACATTTTTCTGGGATAAAAAATAACCTATTTTCCAGACTACAAGTATAATATCTATCTTTGTGCCAGATCCGTTCAGCCGTTCTGGCGTGATTGAAACATCCATCCATCCAAATTTTCGCATTTATACTTTTTAATACTTATTATTCTGAAACAAGATCATCTATAAAAGAAATACTTATTGAATATTTATATAAAATAAAAGTGTTTTTTTTTTTGTTTATACCGATAGTTTTTATCGAAACAACAAAGTGTTAATGGTTATGCTACTTTAATGTTACATATAGTATTGTAACTCGGCCTTGTCCTTGAAATAATTACCTACAGACTGTTAAAATGAGTTTTTGTGTGTTTATATTTGGCGCGTCTTTGAATGGTTTCGTAGAGGGATGCTTGCATGTTTCTTACTTATGAATAAATAAACCGGTTTATTGTGGTATCAAAACCGATATCCTACATTTCATTCAGAATAACCCTTAACCATTATTATTTCGGTTTACCAAACCGTTCGTTTTCATGAACAGGTCATTAAAGTCATTACAGAACGAGTGATGAATTAACCATTACATTACCGAAATAAAAGGGTTTTTTTAAACCGGTTCCAAGCCCTGGTTGTGCTATCCATTTTGCTGTGCCTGGCTAAGAGATAGCACTACAACCTCTTACTACTGGCTAGTGGCTAGTTTTTTAATCGTCAGTAGGTAATATTGAACAATTGGGGGATTCAACAATTACTTATTAGGCATTTTTTAAAGTACATTAAGTTATTAAGCACTATTGTCATTATTTTTTCTTTAACTAATTTTACATAAACAACAAATAACATATATGTATAATGTATATAGTCATTTATTGACATTTGTATAAACTAATTTTTCTTTCACTCCTGAAGAGAGTCGAGACCTCATGTTAAATGTATATAGGTAATTAATTATAAGTAACTACCTACTGATAGACAGTGAATGAAAACTATTGAACTTGATTACATTAAGTAAAATTAAATACATTTTACTAGTGTTAGTCCACAAAGTTTATTTCTGTATAAATTATTCCGCTCAAACAAACGCCGAAACAAACATTATTATCGATACAGAGGCCGAATTTATAGTTATAAGAATTTTTGTCTGCCTGTCTGTTACCGCATCACAGAAAAACCACTGGAGAGATTTTGATGTTTGGTATGGTGATAGCTGGTTATCCGGGTCAACATATAGGATAAGTACTTTTTACTGCGGGAAAATATCTATTTCTGAGAAAAAATACAAAAACTGCATTGTAAGAGTATATAATATGTAAAACCTAAGAATTTGGTTTTTGGTCATCTGAACGCGAGCGGATTATAAAATGCAAAAAAGAATATTTCAAATCGGCCTACTAGTGCAAGATACGTGCTAATAGCACAATGAACCTTCTAACAAAGTTTTTAGTTTTAGGAATATTATTAATTAAAATACCTATAGATAAAAATTAAAAACTCAAAGTAATATTTTAAAATAATTCAAAAATTGTAGGAGCTACCTGCTTTTATAAATGCGAACGGTTATGCGAGTGTTTGTATCACCTACACGCAGATACGACTGCACAGCCAAATACATCCGATTTGAGTACCTCCTTCTTTTTTGAAGTAAGTCAAAAATGATCATTAAGATTCCTCTTGACAGATATCGGCCACAGCGGCCGATCTCACAGAGACTAGCCAATTGCGCAGGTAATATTATAGTGCACAAGTATGCGTGCAAATACAAGTGCCTTCTCTATTGCTTTTACTCTCGTACTCCGGCGGGACGACAATTCGACTCGGGACTCGAACCCAGGACCTCCGAATCTGTAGCCGTACCTACATAATAGCTACTAGACCATCGATGCAATTAAGTACAAAATATATACAATACAAAGCAGCTTATCAGTAGTATGGGACTGCCAAAAAAATTTAAGTGGATGAATCCGCGGATTGACAAGATTGTATAAAAATATTAGGTTTACGCTCTCTCGCACGTCTCTCTCTCTCTCTCTCTCTCTCTCTAACTAAAAAAATTAAAATGTTCTATTAAATATTTAAAAAAATTGGGTTGAGAACAAAGCTTATTTTACTTACCAGAGGTGTCACTTTGGGTAGATAGTATGTAGATTACTTTTCTATGTTGTAATTGAAAAGTAATCTACGTATACGCATGATAATAATATATTGATTGTACACTATATAAAAACTAAACCCTACCATTAAAAGTTTGAATGCTAATGTGATGTGTTAATTGTCCTCAACAGAACTACGTGTGTCGATAATCATTATCACATTAGGATAGATTCAAATATGTAGGTAACTTAACCATATAAAAATTGATTATACATGACAGAAAGCCGAGGCCTACTACTACAGAGTACGTACATACATACATAGGTACCCACATAGATGTTAAAATAAATTGGGTCCTTATCTACATACATATTGTCAAATTTAGTAATTTGTCCTAACTTCGCTAATGTTTATTTTTTGAAATGACAATATTATCTTTGGATAGTTGTTTTTGTTAACTACACCATACCTAGAAGGCGCTTGTTACCAGTAGCTAATCATTATCGAATGGCACCGACTTTGAAAATATATTATGACTAGGTGTCCACAGTAAGTGTAATCTTTCGTTCAGTTATTTTACACTTTTTAGTGTTTGGAAGTCGGACTTTTTAACGTTTTTATTTTTAGTGTAAACGCAGTAGGAGCAAAGTTGGTTTGATGACAATTTTTAGGTATATGAAGACTAAAAAAGTAAAAAACTCTTTATTAGAACTTAACACTAAAAATCAGGCTTCCTAATCCTGATCCTGTATTGGGCTTGTCAAATGAAACCAAATAAGGCCAAACTCAAAACTCACTAGAAGCCGTTGAAAAGTTCCACTATCCTTGGTTGCTTGCTTGCACCTGGCTTCACCATCAGATCAGCGTGATATCTACTAGATCACTAGGTATTATCATCGAAAATACAGACACTTGCAAAGTTTCAAGTCGATATGTCAGTTAGACGTAGTGGGGTAAAAACACTAATTAGATCTGTTTAAAAACACGTGAAATACGTAGTTTTTGTTTTCAGATTTTGTTCAAGAAAATTTTGTGGAACAACCTTGGCATCGAATACAGTCAGTCGAGTACAATTTAAAGTAACAAAATCGGACCAGCCATCTGCGAGAACACTCCTCCTTTTTGGAAGACGGTTAATCAGTTCTATCTATTTATTCAGTTTTATTCAGATGTTATTAGCGAGAATGATCGCAGAAAGTTAATGAGGCAGCAGAATAAAAGAAAACAAAAAGGGACAGATTAAACCTATAAAATGACGCAGATATTAATAGAAAATATAATTTTAAAGGCACTTGATATGGAAAAAAATGGCGTCATTTAATATTTTCTGATAAAAAGAAATTTTATTTGGACTTGAGCCAAAGACAGTAAAAGCATCGAATTTCACCCATGTCTCATTTATATTATAAGTCTTTTCTTACTTTTTAACGATATTCTTATTAACCTACATTTCGTCAAGCTTAACCAATTTTCATATTTTATGAAGATAAATGAAGGCACTAAGTTCACGTACATTATTTATACTGTCGAAATTTTGCCAGTAATTTAAAAAAGAAACCTACTCATACCAATGTAATTACCCGACCTTATAGGTTTTCACCCATATAAAATTAACGGTGCTACGCGGCGCAATAATTTTATAATATTTTCTTAAAAATAATAATTTCTTAAAAGCGTTTCATAGGTAGGTATCTACATTCAATCCTTCAAAGTAAATAATATTAAATATATGAAATTGGTAATAAACCAAAAATTGATAAATATTATTTTAACATTGTTAAAAATAAAGCATTGACAAACATGTTAACAGGTCAATTTCAAAAATTATAAGTGAGAGATAATAACCTAAATAAAGAATATAGACAATATTTTATTACATTTTAACCTTATCAGAATGAATATGAAATATCTCAATCGTGCACGTAGGTACCAATTGAGTATTGTTACGAAGACAAGGTTTAATATGGAAATGACATAGTACTCTTAACGCTTAATGCGACATTGTGAATAACATTTATGTCCGGTATCATTGAACGTCGAAGACGTGGCGGCGGCGATTAGTTTTTCCAATCACGGACCAAACATTGTTCTTCGAGCATCTATATAAGAATTGGGAATAGGAGCTAGCTGCATTATAGTCACAGCCGCTGACAACATTCCCGTCTAGTGTTTCTAGACCTGACTTTGTTGTTTCACCATAGTAGATCCATTTATCACGTTATCATGTTCAAGCTGGTAAGCATTCCATTACATTTTTTTTTCTACATAAATATTTGTGTACATATTTTTAAATCATATGAAAACATTATGTAAATATATTGTTATCTAAGCTATTTAAAAAAAATACTTAAGTGTAATTATTAATATATTACGACCCCCGATACAAAAGAGGGGTGTTATATGTTTAACGGATATATGTCTGTCGCTTCGTAGCGCCCAAACGGATGAACCGATTTTAATTTAGCTTTTTTTAAAATTGAAATGTGACTTAATAGGACTTTTACAAATCAAGAAAATCCGATCAGCCATTTGCAGTCTATCAGCTCTTTTCGAGGCGGTGAAAGAATGTGTCATAATTATTATTTTATCTGTAATCTAAAATTACTTCTATAAACTATTTTGAGTCCTTCATTACAGCACTTAATTCTGTATTTTTTTTAATTCTATATAAATTACATTTTTTACCGTTTAATAGATTGGGAAAAAATACATAAAATTAGACAGAGAGACCTTATAAGATGACTCAAATATATGTATGTACAATTACATACATTTGAGTGATCATATAAGGATTCCAGTTTTAGTAGAATAATACCTACCCTTATCTTATACATATAGTATCTTTAATTTACTTTTGATATTTAAAATATTTTATTTATATTTACTATCTATATGACGAGTATTTAACCTGAAAAATAAAACTATTTTGTTACAGATGTTTCTTTTAGTCGCTGCTATGCTGCTCGTAGCCCCAGCTTTCGCAAAACCCCAGGTTCTAGTCGACTACGGCTATTATGCTCCGGCCTACGTCGCTTCCTACGGCACTCCCTTAGCGTATTCCTACCCCTACGCCTACGCCTACTCTTACCCTCTAGCGTATTATTAACTTAACACTCACAGTATCTAATGGATTGTGTATTAATATTGGATATATTAGCAGTTCTTGGTTTTGTACATAATTAATAAAGGAAAAATTAAAATTACTTTTAAAATTACATTCACAAAAACCGAATCGAGAAAACTGCAACATATAATCGAAAACACTTATCGGAGAAAATGTTAAATTAGTTATTAAAATGAGATATGTAAACTGTAAACATGATTTAAATATTTATGTAAATTATTTAAATTAAATTTATTTGTAAAGACTGTAATAAACTACTTAAGTAAAATTGATTTTTATTTTATTGCTTATCAAATTAGAACACTTATAATATTAAAAACAACAGGCCACAGTTAGACACGGTCCGCTCAATCCTGTGGGATATTTCACTACACTAACCAATGCCGATTGGCATATCTTCTTCTTCTTCTATACATATAATAAAATTGTAACGAAGCCGAATCTGTACATTAAATATTTTTTGGAAAATCTTATTGAAATAAACATTATCATCGATACAGAGGCCGAAACTATAGTTTTTAGAATTTTTGTCTGTCTGTCTGTTACTGCATCACAGAAAAACGAAAGATTTTGATGAAATTTGGTATGGTTTAGCTGGTTATCCTGGTCAACATATAGGATACTTTTCACCGCGGGAAAATGTCTCATTTCTGAGAAAAAATACAAAAACTGCAATGTAAGAGTATACTAATAATATGTAAAACCTAAGAATTTGGTTTTTGGTCATCTGAACGCAAACGGAGCCGCGGGCTTTGCTAGTAGACTATAAAGAAGAATATTTTGAATCCAACTTGTAGTGCCAGAGATTAAGCGTGCTCAAACAAACAAAAAAACAATCTTTTCTGTATTTATTAGTATAGAAACGGTGACTTTACAATACTGACTGTACGCGAATTTCCAATACAAATCTATTGCATGAATGAAATTATTAATGTGCATAAATAACATAAGTACATTAATACATTGATAAATAATAAATTTTAAAATGAAGTAGGTCAGGGACGCTATACATCATCACTATTTGAAGGAGTGACACAGTCCATGATATATGAATTATGGTATTTCCAAGGTCATCCATCGGTCTTTCCCATAATTTGTATGCAAGGACTCAAACGGTCTGACACCGAGTATTACTCATGAGTCGTAATGCCTCCGCAATTTATTAAATGTAGTAGTCGTTCTTGATGTGCATAAATTATTTTACAACTTTTGAAAGATATAAATAGGATTTTTTCGTACAAATTTTTAGATTTATTCTATCAATAAATCTATCAGTAACTCGTTTACAGTGCTATCTATCGAATCGACGTTATAGATGTATACGAGTCATCTTGATTTGCGAGTAGTATGAATAACTTGACTACGGCACTACCTTTTACTTATATTCCAGCAAATAGCATAACTATAAAACAAACCATAAATAAACCAACCCTCTTGATTAGGTACGCGAATCTATTCTAACATTGTCACATGACAAGTATTATTTGTATGTGAGGATATTGTCGTATGCTTAATCAATCAAGTCATTTATTCAGTTATTAAAGTTATACAGAGACACACTTAAAAGATGAAAAGATTTAATATAGGTTCTCTACAATACCATTTATTGCCCCTAGGGCAATAAACTAAGTCGGAATTCGGACAACACGGACAATAAAAAATGAATGGCAAAATATTATGGGCAAAACAATATAGCTTACCGCTACAAAAACTTGTATGACGCATACAAACTATAATATAGAGTCAAAAAATACAATGTTTGAATTTGTCACGTATTAGAGTTCAACGCGTGTTTGCTTTGCTAAAATCAACATAAAACATGTTTAAAAATTTTATTATTATTACTTTAGACATATTATTATAGATTTATATTTTATTGTATAAGTTATTGTATTTTAATCACAAAGTAATAAAACAGTGGTTTTGCTTGGTATTATTTATTCATATTGATTAGTTGAATATATTGCCATACCTATGAATATCATATAAGTACATAGTATCTTTTTGCATTTATAAGTACGAACAATTAAATGATATAGGTAAAGTTAGTTTGCCTAAATAGCTACTAAAGAACGGGATCTAGAAGTAAATTCTACATTTTGTCCAAAATTATCTAAAAACGTTCTAGTAGATTTTATTTAAATGATTTTATTTGTTTGAATTTCATACTAGCTTTTTTTTGGTTTGGAATGTTAACTTAATATGCCTTTTTGCGTGTATAGGTGCGTATCTATACATTAAAGTGTCGATTTTAATTTAAAAAATAATTTAATTACCGAATCATTACATTTGCAACTGTTATAAGTAGTATGAAATATGATTAGTGAATTTATCTAAAATCTTCAAAAAATAATTATAATAACTTAAACATTTCTATAAATACAATGTTACGAAGATAATATTACGAGTTTTATTTTTATTTTAATTATAACTATGATACTACTAACAGTTATTATAATTTTAATATTAAGAGATAGATTTACACACCGCCCCATTTTCCTACTTTACATCTAAATCGCAAGTTAATAATAAGTCCTTAATGCCTAATCCTTTGTGCACTTTATTTATAAACATTCACTTTTCCGTTCCATTTGTTATAATAATGTCACTTCACATTCCTACAATTGTTTTTTTGCTAGGTCCAGGTATCATATCACTGTGTATAAACACTTAAGCAACTTCTAGATCGGAATCTTCAGAGTCGTCAGTATAAGGGCGAGGCGTAGGCGGCGCGGGTTGAGGCCGCGCGGGTGGCGACAAGCGAGGTCGCGCGGACACCATCGCGCGACCACATGCCCGCTCTTCTTGAAGCTTTCGTAGTCGCTCCTGCTCTTCACGTTTCTGCTTACGCCATTTAGCACGACGATTTTTAAACCATACCTGTGAAGAAATGTAATTTTACTTTAAAAATAAGTATATCATCGGTAGGGTAGGTACGTAGGTATCGTAGGTATGATGAGTTGTTGTGGGTTATATAACGTGTTTTCCCGTGGGAATGAGATAATCCCCCGAGGTAAAAAGTAGCTATGTCACTCTCCAGCCCTATATCTATCTCGACACAAAAATCACACTAATTTGTCACTCTGTTTCGACGTGAAAGAAGAACAAACAAACAAGCAAACACAATTTCACATTTTTAATATTAGTATGGATTTTATTTAGTGTTTTTGTAGTATTTTTTTAAGTTTATCTTTATTTTGTATTTCGTTATTTGCACCTAGTAGTACATAATATGTAGGTATATCAATTTTTTTTAGAATATGCGAATATCATCCATACAAACATGCTAGCCCTTAAATCGCCACCCCTTTTCCCGTCTAAGGGGTGGAATTTTGAAAAACTTTGAAATACATGTTTGTAGTTTGTTTATCAGTTCAATCAAGAAGCACAAATAGTAAATTTCAAGCAGATCAGACCATTTTTTTTTCATTTTTATGCTGATGTTTCCATCCCATTTCTCCCGTTTGGGGTTGAATTTCCAAAAACGATGAAATACGTATGTATTTATTTTTGCTGAGAAGCTTTAATATTAAATTTCATACTTCTTACTTATTTCTAACCAGAAATTTACAAATAAATTTACAACCGATTTCTCGGAGACGGCTTCACCGATTTTGATACTTTAAACGGTATTATATTAAGGTAGGCCCCGAGGCAGTCCCATAAAATTTCTTTGACATAAAGTATACCGTTTTCGAGAAAATCAGAAAAAAATCATGTAAAGTATGTTTACAGATCTAATTAGTATTTTACCTACTTCTAATAGTCAGATCGGCTTGAAACTTTACAACTTTTTGTAATTCCAATGATAGTATAGTAATTTGGTATCTTGAAGTTAAACTGATGGTGTGGCCAGAAGATGGTTAGTGCAACTCTTCAACGGCTCCTTGTAAATAGTTTGAATTTGGGCTTATTTGGTTTGATTTATTAAACTCAATACGTTAGAATTGGACTTTAGAGCCTGGTTTGACCGACTTGCAAAAAGAGGTATGTTCACCGATTTCTCGAAGGCGGCTTGACCGATTTTGCTTCTTTAAACTGTATTCTATTAAGGTAGGTCCAAAGATGGTCTCGTAATATTTTTTATACAGAGTTTACCGTTTTCGAGAAAATCAGCAAAAAAATAAAAATTTGACGTATGTATGTTCACAGATCCAATTAGTCTTTTTACCTACTTCTAATGGTCAGATCAACTTGAAATTTAATAACTTTATGTACATACTAGTAGCTCATCTTCGCTTCGCTCCGATTCGCCTCTAGAAAAGCTCAAACAAACCTATCACACAGGTACCGTTAATTTTTCCGGGATAAAAAGTAACCTGCTGTTTGACCGGCAATATAAGGTATCAGCATGCCAAATTTAACTAAATTAGGTGCATAAGTTGTTGTGTACTAAGCTGTATAAGTTACTATAGTTAGTAATAGCATAGGTGTCGACATATTTGCTGATTCCTTAGCCAAATTCCGCAAAACCATTTGCACCAAATTGCTAAACAAATGCTTTGATAGTCTTAAATAATGTTATAATTGTTAAATTAATGTAACTGTGTACCTACTCATTGATTAGGTTATTTAAAAAAACTTAAAAAAAACCGACTTCCAGGCACTAAAGTGAAAAAAATAACTAAACGGGGGTTTTCATTTAGAATAGATACCTAATCAGATATTTTCGAAGCCGGTGCCAGCCGATGTAAGGCAATTCTAATATATTTCGATACGTAAAATACATATTTACCTATTAGATATTCATATATTAAAATATTGTTGGCTGGCACCGACTTCGAAAATATCTGATTCTAAATGAAAACCCCCGTTTAGTTATTTTTTACATTTTAGTGCCTGGAAGTCGTTTTTTTTTTAGTTTTTATTTGTCCATTTTTAGTGTAGATGTAATAAGCAGGTAATTTGTTAGAAGAAAGTTTTTTAATAACATGTTCGATTAAGCAATTTAAAAAAAATATATATTTGTTCATTTAAAAAATAAACCGCTTGACCGATTTCGATAAAATCTATATGAGACCACCTGGGAAGTATACCCTTTAAAACAAAAAAAAAATTCCAAATCGGTTCAGGCGTCTTCGAGTAATCGGTAAACATACATAAAAAAAAAGATTCCGACGAATTGAGCACCTCCTCGTTTTTGGAAGTCGGTTAAAAAAACTGTTTACTTCTAAAATATATTTTGTATAATATTTTAAGAAACTTTATTTCTGTGCATACTGTGTTTATTTGTAAGTAATCACTACATTTAGTTCCTAGTTTTTAGTTCTATATATTATATTTGTATGTATTATTATAAGTGATTGTGATTTAACCTAATAAATAAATAAATTGTTTTTAACTATCCCACGGGAACTCTTTAATTTTCCTGGATGAAAAGTATCTAAAATATTGACCGGGGATATAAGGTACCACAATGCATAATTTCATTTAAATCAATCCAACCGTTTCGAAAATTAGCCCGTACAAACAGGCAAGTAGACAATCAGACAGAAAAACAAAAAATTTGAATAAATCTGGATTTGTTCTATTTCACTTCTTACATCCACCTGACTCGGTTTTTAGCATTTTTTTCTATGTACAGACATATGACCTCTACAGTTTTATTATATGTATAGATTTCTAATGATAATATAGTTATCTGGTATCATCATCTTATGATGGTGAGGCCAGAAGGTGTATAGAAACCCATCAACGATTACTAGGTAGTAATTTAGAATAGATACCTTATCAGATATTTTCGAAGTCAGTGCCCTCCGATGCAAAGCAAATCTAATTCGATACCTAAAATACACCACAATTTGATGTATAATATTAGAGTTCATATTTTGTTATATTTTACCTATTAGATATTCATATCTTAAAGCATTGTCGACTGCATTATAAAAATATAATGACATACTGGTATTAAATACCTATATAACCGTTTTAGTACAAACATTGAAAACATTCTTATAAATTTAATTAAAAGATTCCCAAAATATGTTCACATAATTATTCAAGTGTAAAGTGTAGCATTAGATTATTGTAAAGAATATTTTAAATATAGATATTTGAAAACTTCCAAATGATTGTACATCGGTCAATAAAAACATTATAATACAACGTGTTATCCGCGGACAATTGTATGACCGAGGCCCATTCAAAAACGACCGCGCTACTGAACTAACACCAGAAGTAGAAAAAAAGTGAATAAAATACTTCTTTACATTATTGAGTAAAATCAATGATATTTCTTAGTAAGAGTTTGAAATTTCCGCTCGACTTAGTTCGTATAAGTGCTGAAATGTTCCTGGCTGCGGGTGGTCGCATCGGCTTAAGTTATCCGTCAAAACAGCGGCACCTTTACTAGCATCGTTTTATTTAAATACAATTTGATTATTGGTTATAATGCGCCATTCATAATCGAAAGCATTACAAATTTTGGAATAGTTTGCCTGTTCATATAAACTTTTCAAATCATTAAGAATATTATAAAAATCTGTTTAAAATCATATTGCACAATAACAACAATGATTTCAAACAGATATATATATATATATATATATATATATATATATATATATATATATATAACGCAATTTAAAAATTCTACACAGAGCAGCTTCATTTTGACGAGATGATTTATACGAAAGTTTGATAGTGGTAGATACAAATGTGGATTGATATGGAACATGTCGAAATGGTGATTGTCTAAAATTTATTATTAACAGGTTGATTTATATGATTTAATCTTGAGGTAATCCAACATAAAACAAGGACAAAATGTTGTTCTACAATACAGATACTATCGATTCTAAAGAGTCCTATGAAATAGCTCTAAAGATAAATCGCTTCAGTGCATACATACAATTGTTTAAGTATGTTAGACCATTCATCCCTTTTTTTTTTAACGTTGGGAAATGCATTTACGCACGAAGTGTGGGACTCACCGGCGACGCCAGTAGGTACTACCCACTAAAACCCAACAAAACCTTCCCCCGTCTTAATGGGGCGTCGCAGGATCACTTACGCATTCAACTACGACGCCCCGACGGCAGGTCTGCCGAAGCAGACCACAACAACCACGGGGTTGCTCCAAGGTCCACTCTGCTATCAGAGAAGTACCAGGAGCAACCCGCATGGTACACCGCCCTCCGAAGAGGGCCGCCTCCCACTGCCCACCGAAGCGGGCCACCTCCCTGTGCGTTTCTTGGCTTCGCGCCCGGCTGTATTGCCGGGCACTACTGAGCCCCCCCACCACGACAAGGTGAACGCACGTTGGGGGTGATGTTAGACCATTCATCCCTACGGAGGAACATGGCAATATTTTGATTGTTGAATCTAACGTACACGTGTGCCTTTTATATGTCAAATGATTAACTGCGAAATTAACTGAATGTGAATATATTCGTTTTCATAATTTCATGAATATCATTTTTTGTAAATTGTCATTTCAACACCAAATATTCAACGAAGCGTAACTCCTAAGCGTGCCGAGTTTAAACAGAATTGGATACTTAAAATTAAATCGTAAACGATACCACCATTGTAGGAGTTAATTGCATTACAAGTGTCAGTCGGTAGCTCAACAAAAGCGCTATTAACTTTCGGGAAATGAGTGAGGAGCTTTCGCACTCATCGAGCGGCGGGCTATTGTGCGGCGTTCATGCGGGAAATATAGCCGCCAACGCCAGACTCTAGGGCGACTCCTTACGGCACGCTCAGCAAATCTCACATCTCATATCTCGTTCATTGTGGATGGGAGCCCACAACAAGATTAAACCACGCTCTTTTGTATGCTACTCATTGTGTATGGTTTAACTCGTTCATTGTTTATTTTTATTGAATACTGAACCGATTCATAACTTCAACTTCGCATTTGTTTAAATAAACGCAAA